GCGCTTATCTGAACATCAGTTTTCCTAACTGGTGATTTGTGACTGAGATGAACTTTATGTCATATGATTGCTAGGGATACGCAGGTACTGTAGAGGCACTCATATAAATAGAGGTGGGCGATCCTCCCTCTGACTGAATAACTGCGACAAGTTTAGAGCTCAGACCAACTGACACAGTTTGGAGCACCTCAGGGTCTCACTAGGCTCATCACATTAGAAACCTTCAGCAAACTAATCGTAGAAGCGGGTGGTTATCGGTAACGTGCACAGATCTCTGAACGCGGGTCATTGCGAGAACTATATCCAATCCGTCACAGACAGAACAAGAAAGCGAGATATTCTTGCTATAAGGAAGAACGTATCGAGACGTTTCAGTCATTGACTGCCATCCAAAAGTACCCTAACAAAGACAAACACAGTGAAGCTGACAAAAAAGAATTCGCTTATGATAAGATCAAGAGGAAATAGACGAAGACCGGCTTGCCATTCTATAGGGGATGGCTACGTTCAAGGACTGACCTCAGGTAAAATTCTGACGAACAATCCCCAACTAGCCAAGTGGACTTTGGATGGGCTCTTTGGAAAACACAGAAAACAGCCACCTTTTCTCAGAAAGCAAAGAATGATCTCCTAGACGTGTGCTGGACAGTGGAGGAAACTTGCAAGGCAACCGCCTCTAATGTTACTCCCCAAATATCGAGTTTAAGAGACGACACCAGCCAGAAATGTTGTCTAAGACTGACCGGTTGATAGAGCAGCAAATCGCTCGATACTTCAGGCGATTATCTGCCGTAACAAAAATTGGTTTACTGACGAGGTCCCTCTCTGTAAATATGAATGATGACGAAGAGGCCGATGCCGATGATCTAGCTTCAGAAGTCGAAACGGACCGAACAAGGCAGAAGATAAGGAGGGACCTTGCAAAATTTAGACGAAGACTGCAGCAGAGGGTACAGCTGCTATAAAGCTAGAAAAAAAATAACGACATTTGCACCTCACTTTTCTTTCATATTTATTGTCTTTGCTCACGAAAACAACTGACTTTGACTTTAAAAGCTCCTAAAATGAGCATAACGACATTTGCACCTCACTTTTCTTTCATATTTATTGTCTTTGCTCACGAAAACAACTGACTTTGACTTTAAAAGCTCCTAAAATGAGCATAACGACATTTGCACCTCACTTTTCTTTCATATTTATTGTCTTTGCTCACGAAAACAACTGACTTTGACTTTAAAAGCTCCTAAAATCAGCAATGATGATGATAAACAATCAAATTATAGACTAATGAATGTTTTATGCCGTAAAAAAGCCATATTTACTGATTTTAGCAAATCTCCAAAGTAATAAACGACTGAAGAAAGAAACGCTACGATTTTCTCTTCGATTTTTCGCCCACATGCATCTCTCTAAATGTGAAATTTTCTATTCCTACAAAAAATCTCGAAAGTTTTTCACATTTTTCACCTTTCTTGATCAATCATCTTGTATAAAGAGCCAAAAAATGTAGGTTTATTTGGTCAAGCGACCGCTTAAAGCGAGAATTGCGTGACAGGTGTAGTTGAGAGAAACTTGTCACAGTCGCAGATTTTAAAGATTTCAAGAAAAAAATACGGTAGCGCCCAAAGATTTTTTTGATGATTTTCAGAGATGAAATAGTGGGTTATAAAGGGGAATCAAGATTAGCGTTGCTTTCTGGCAAGGGGAGATATTTGACCTCAAAGTTGTGAAATATTTGGATGAATCGAAAAGTCTAAAAACACAGTCGTTTCTTTGCCTCTGTTGATTGACAAGCCGTCAATCAAATTGACTGATACTTGCGGCGAGCATTAACTAAGGATGAAAAAATATGTGTGCAAATCCTCAGAGTAATTGGTTAAATACCATCGCAGTGAGAGCTTCATACATTTTACCTATTTTGAAGCGATTTCCTTGGTGAAAACCAAGAAAAACCGGGGGGGTGGTCTATCTCCCCCCGGAAAAAACCAAAACAGAAACCGGTTTGTCTTTTTGAGTTTTGAGGTAGACCCTTTAAACTGGCAAAGTTTCATTGAAATCGGTGAGATGGCATGTAGCACGACTGTCCGGTGCTCTCGTGGACAGGCTCTTAAAACTAAAATACAAGCAAAGAAAAGAACGTTACAAAGTGAAAAGTGGAAAGTTGGACCAAAGCGACACTTACATTTGTTAGGAGCTGAGAAAAAAGTGCACTGGAGCGGCGACGAACTGTAACGTGAAATCTGGCTGCCGTAGGGCGAAAAATGATCGCTTAGAAATGGCAAGCGAAAAACTAACCCCAAAAGGCCTACACGTCCTTTAGATACGAACGACGAATATATTACACTAAATTACTCGACTAACACGCTAAAATACATTCCGCACGCACAACGAACTAACATACAAAAATCCCAAAGGGAAAAAACAAAGGACACTAATAAACTGGTGTTCAGTTCTTTACATTCATCGTTTTCTGTAGTACTCCGAAACAAACGATCAAACAGTGGGATCACGTGCTAATTCCAAGTAACCATCGACGAAATTCAAGGAAATCGTTACTAAGCGTTGAACGACCGAAGAAGTTCCGAAACAATCAAAAGCCAAGAGCGAGGAATATCAGGTAAAACTCGGCAGACTTCGTTTTGGGCTATGAGATCGATGTTATTCTATAGTTACACTCAATAACTCACCCACTCACTCAATAGGACGACATTATGACTTCGCCTACATAGGAGGCAGTTGAGGCAATAACAGATGTCTCTATCTTCGCTGTTTACGGATCAAATAACATGAAATGATAAGAGGGTGGACTAAGAGAATATTTTATATTTATTTGGTCCCAAACCCCATCTCAGTTATCTTGCAGAATTCGGGGGCTCAAAGGAAATTTTTTCAGAAAAAAGGAAAAAAATCTCAATTCAGGTATTATAAAAGCAATGTATTTCTAAGATTTCTTGCTATGTGATCATGTGAATCTTTTTAGAAAAAGCTGTCAAGGAAAGTTAGTAAACTCAATAGCTTAAACGATTAAATGTTCGTGTGTCATGAGCTTATTTCAATCTCTACTAACTTCGGACAAATTAAATTTCGAGATGTTTTGCACGCGAGGAAGATTAGACTGAAAAAAGAGAGTAGTTTGTGTATTTAAGGCTGTTAATACTAGGGCCTGTGTTCCATACAAATTAAAAAAAACAAGAACTAAAATGCTCCCATAATTCCCTAAGGTTTTGGGTGTCTTGGTGTCACGTGATGGAATGAATGAATGTTGGCACTTTTCTGGCTCTTTTCTGGCGCTTAAAAGACAAAAGAAAAACGTTGCCGCGATGTCGAACTTGAATATAATATTTACGGTAATACCAGAAGAAGAATGAAATTAGAAAGAAAATTATGATCTACCGGGTGCTTGAGGATGCGAGACTCTTAGTTCAATTAAGTTTTATGCAGCTCAATAAAAAATATGTTTAAGGATAAGAATACTTCAGAAATCCTATAATTTTCATATTCGTCACCTAAAAGTATATTTCAAATTACGACCCTAACCGAGTTTTGGGATTCCTAAGAGTAACTTACCCTTTCGGGAATAGTCCATTTTACAGTTGTGTGCTTGGTTGCCAAGCCTTTGAACAGGAATGAGGCTAAGGGTGACCTTGTTATGATACAAACCTTGCTGCTTTTCAAATGCAAATTACTTTGTTATCATGCTAACTAGATACTGGTCTCTATCACAACAAGGTCACCTTCAGCTTTTGGCAACTAAAACTTTGCCTTTAAATTTGGATGGACAGAGAAAGCCGCCATTTTGAATTTTGCTTAGCAGCCTAGCCATTTATCTGTAACGTAATAAAGTCTAACTTCTGTCTTCTCCATCTCATTTAAATTATAAGGAACATGACGGAAAGTCATTCTTGACTCAGACAATAATATCTATATATTTTTGCGATAACCTGCGCTCCAGCTGTTAGTGAACTGCGCGTTTTAGTCGTGCGGCCAGGTTACTAGGTTTTTCAAAATGGCGCCATCCTGTTTTTGGCACTCATCAAGAGATAATTTGAAAACAGTAAGATAATTCTTTGCAATATAATTAAAAGCGAGTCAAGAAATTTTTCTACGAGGACTAATCTACGTTTTTTTCCGAACTTACTACTCAATTAAAGATTTTATCGCGCAAGCAGCTCGATTTTCTATACCGCGGCATCAGTTATGGAACCTTAGGCTGTTCCGCGTTCACAGTTAAAGCACTTTTCAATTACTTGTCGCAAAACTAAAACCAAAGCAATCAAAACAGCCAATCACAAAGAGGAAAATACCACAAGTAGCCAGTGAGGGCTCTGCTAGAAGCGCGGGAAAACGCGAATGACTTAGCCGCGATTGGTTTTAGTTTTGAATCTGATTGGTTGAGAAAGTGACCCGAGCTTTCCGGACCAATCACATAACGAAGTGATGTAAAACCAGGGCAATTCCGGATTACCTTCGACGCCCCATTGAAAATTTCTCTATGCACACACGAGCTTTTCCTTTTTCTTTTCTTTAAGGACTCACATGCTTCAAAAGGACTATCAAATATATTTTCTGGAATGTTGTTTGGGAACATTCAGCTGGATGCATCTTGCAATAAACTCGTCTTTGTAAATTTGGGCGAAGAATTATTTTGAAATTAAACAAATATAAACAACGTAATCGAACACAAACACCTCACAATAAACGCGAGAAAAACACTTTATTCCCCTTTCGTTTACATTACCAGTAAAACGAGCGAATTATTTGCCTATGAAAGAAATATTAGCAACAAAGACAAAGCATTTCCTTCAGAATTATCCACCAAATAGCATCTACCACTACCCTAACCCTTCCCCTGGAACAAGCTAAAACTCATCCTATATTGCCACTAACACGACAGAGTCAAATAGAAAATCCATTCTCGCACTTCTTTAGTGAGTAACTGAAGTAGACTCGTTACGACCATTCCGCGATTAGACCAGAAAGGCGTTCCGGTTAACTTTGCGTTAACAAAACCACAAGGTCTCCACACTTATCAGGAGGCACAGGACTACCAGACCCATCCCTGTAAAATTGCAACCGCAGCTAGGATCCGGTTCTTGGCCTGTTATGAGCTTTAGGATTGTAGTTGAACCGTCCTGTGGTTTATACTGATCTACAAAGGGTTTGAAGAGTTTCTTAGCCTTCTTGTCGTAGATCATCCAATACGAGTCAGTCTTGGAATCCTAAACAATCCAAAAAGAGGGAATTAGAGAGAGTCAGTCGCACAAACTTCAGCCTGGGTCAAAACAAATCAGGCTGAAATCAGAATAAGCCTAGAAAAAAAAATTGACCAATGGGGTTTAAGGGATGTTAAGTTAAGTTTTAACAACGCCCCCTCCCCACCCCACCCAGAGCTTATTATCTTCCACGGCTTCTTTAAAAGGGATTCATCGAGGGCGGAAGGAGGAAGGCCTCCTGAAAACGCAATGAAGGCCACGACGCGAGACTTCAAACCGTATGCAGCTCGCATTCCATTGGTCAAGTAACGAAATATTCTATAGCCCTTTCAAAAATAAGTTGTTTCATTTGCACTGAAATTCTACCATATCATTTTTATCTTTCTGTTTTCTCAGCTTTTTTAGTTTTTTTTTTTAATTTTGGAGTTTTAGTTTGGGAGGGGGGAGGGGGTTTGGAAGGGGGAAGAAGGCTCGTCAGAAACTTGAACTTCTGGACGTGGAAGAGGGGGTGCTTGGTGACAAATTTTACAGAACTATTTCCTAGTTATGATGGAAAATTATGAAAAATCTGCTACGAGTATGGCAGCCTGAGCCGGGCTTCCTCGCTCAGTGGACGCAAACGAATGAGCAGACGAGGGAAGACTGGAGAGATTTTAGGGAGGCCTGCCTCTCCTTAGTCCCCCATAATCTTTCTATCACTTTCCCGGCTTTCTCATTCGTCTCCACAAATTAGCGGCCTGGGGCAGGCTACAAACATGGAAGCAGAAGGATTTAAGTCCGTTCATGGAAGTGATAAAATGCCCTTGTCCTCCATAATAGGTGGGTGTATATTTATTGAAAGGACCCTTTTTATTTCAGGCAGCGTTTGCAGCGATCAACTTGGGTTCCGAATTTGCTTCATAAATGAAAAAACATCTTGAAGCGAAAAATAGTGAAATCCGTAAATCTAGGTTACGTAAAACAGGAGTTAATGGCCACTGATCACATACCTCTTTAGTACCGTTCATGGCAGTGATAAAATGTCCCTGTCCGCCATAGTATGTGGTTGAATACTTATTAAAAGGGCCCTTGGTATTTTTATCTGCAGCTTTGTTGATGATTTCTTTAAGATTGGTGTTACTGGCGACTTTGGTGGTGTACAGAGCAGGGATTGACTTTTTAACAACATCCGTATTCCATTCCATTCCAATGGTAACTGTGATCGCAGAGGGAGGCTCCTGATTAGCAGGAAACAAAATGTTTGTTAGCGTAAATCTATTGCTGTTGCTGCTGAAAATAGTAACCATTTTGTCCAGAAAATCCCGTAAGGTAATAAAAAAAACCTTTCCATGAGCGTGTCCCTCATCAGTCGTAGCAAATTTTACCAACTAGAAAGGAAGACCATCTTCCTACTTCATATTTGTGTCTTATGCATGCCTAGTCAGCGAACAGGTACGTTCGTTATAGGAACTAGTTCACACTTTGATCTGACCGTAGAAGAACTGAAATTATTTCACACCTACTGAGATTTACACTGTGAAGTAACATCGTTGGTGTCTCTGATTGGAAGAAAGATGTGCTTTCATAGTCGTTCGCTTCCAATCTTTGATTGGTTTCGGTTAGTAAGAAACAATCTCAGTTTGTATAACATAAAGACATCATATCATGGTAAGTGCTGGAATAATTTCCATTCACTAGTTGCGTTGCGATGCATCAAAAAACGAACGAGGGGTTTTTTGAAGCATCGAAACGAGAGAATAAAAAAAATTGTTCGAGCGCACTTTCCAAGGGAGAACCTCTATACTTTCAACACTATATGAATATGTACGAGCCTCCTTTAAAATAATGGGACAAGAGCCATTCTCGTCCCCAGAGCCACTCGGTCTTACTTACCGTCACGAATTTCTTCGAGCACGTGACCTAAAGAAACGAGGAACGAGGACTCTTGGGAAGAGAATGGACGTGAGCGGCTAAACCCGAGTCTACTGCATAAGGTCAAGGCCTCTACTTTCTTAATGCGAAAGTGTTGCGAAACAATCAAATCGATGGTTTGGACTGTTTATCAGCAAAGAAAAAGCAAACCAAACGAGTTATCCAGCCCAAGAGCGGGCCCTCATTTTTAGCGCTGCATTGCGTCCGTTTCTCCGCTCGCAGGAAGTTTTGAGACGAATTGGCGCGAGGATTATCGTGGAACTGGCACTAATTAGTGCCAGACCCCTTGCATACCTCGCGCAGGCCCGCGACGGTCAAGTTCTCATTCCTTCCCGCGAGCGAAGAAACACTCGTGCCCAGGCGCTAATGAACATTAAAAACCTGCTCGCAAGCTAAAGCAGGCTTGTATTCTTCTTCTCTTTTTTCAGGAAAGTTCACTAGCAAGTTTTGCTTTACACGCACTCAATTGACTTTCTAGACTCGTGTTCAAAAGAAACAACCTTGGCTAAAGTACAGCGAACAAACCTGACTAGGGGTGGAGTGAGAAACACAATATCCATTCGCACTTTTATTATTATTCGGGTAAGGGTCTGCTGTAAACCGGAATAGAATCGTGGACCCGTTATGAGGCACATAAGAGTCCCCTCCACATGGAATAGACACATTTTCTTCATCATATTTGTACCAGTACGAATTGGTGTTCTGACTGTGTCCCGTTCCATTTATGGTGGTGATCAGATACCCCAGCCCGGCATAGTAAGTGCTCTCGTAAAGGTTGAAGGGGCCCTCCTTATCTTCGGCTGCTGCTTTGTTCATGATGTCCATCACAACAGTTCCGTTGGGGACCATTGTTGTGTAACTAGGTGGAATCGGTTTACCAAGTGCGGTGACATTCCAGTCGAGCTTTAAGGTCACTGTGATCTGCAAGAAATGGGCCAATCTAAGGAAAGCGCTAAGATTGACTATCAGGAAAAAATAAATACATAAAAAGTGCTTTGATAAGGAGGAATTTATTCATCTTGTATTATACTCTAAGATTGACCATCACGCTCCAAAAAAAAAAAAAAAACGCGTGTTTCATGAGGACGGAATTTATTCATCTTGAATTTACTCACGCATCAGTTTTTAAACAAAGCGAAAATACTTATTCAGCTTTACCCACTTTCCCTCAAAGAAACCACGAAGCAAGAGATGAGAGCCTCAGCTTTTCATGATAAAATATAGCAATAATAAATTTTAAACCATTGGTAAACATTTAGTCCGTGAGTATCTAACGAAAGCGACCACGGAATCCATTGGTGGGGTGGGAGGGGGGGCGGGATAACGAAAGAGAGGAGGGAGCGTTCGCAACGAGTGATGCAGGAAGTTTTAAATCTTCAAAAAAAAAAGTTAAACAGCTCTTTAAGAATTATTAACCGCTGAATTATTATAAGGAATGGAAGCCTTCCACGAGTTTCGCTGAATCAGCTTACCTCAGGAGCAGCTTCCCTCCGTTCTCGTAAATGGGCTGCAATATAAAAAATATATTGCATTTCATTATGTTTTTAGTCCAAGAGAAATTGATTCTTGATCTTGTCCTTTATTTAGTATTTTTAACAGATATGTTCAACATTTTTTGTTTTAAAAGCAGCGTCAAATACACATCGGGTGCCGAGTCGCTGAGGTAGGTCATTTTATAAACTGCTTCCAAAACGCAACTCTTTGGACGCTGCGATTACAGATTATATCCATGCGAGTGTGAGTGCCTGAGACTTGTTTCGAAGACAAAATTCAGTCCACAGGAGCGAGACATAATCGAAAATCATTCACTTTGACTACATGCCAAACGGGGCGAATCGTCACTTAGTGAGCTCTCGGCCTGGGTAGAATTATTTTCCGCTGCAAAGCAGTTGACAAGGGTCATGTGTCACGCCATCAAGTTAGCCTGATCATACGAGCCAGGTTTCTTGCAGGCTCTGTTAGCAGGACTTACTTTGACCCCTTGACATACTTCGTCCCTGAAACTGTGCATATGAAAAATGTCGGCTCGAATTCCCCTTTGGGCGTAGTTACAATTCTGATTACCCCGTAAAGAGTCCACAAAAATTTCCGCCCGGTCGACAACTCATCGAAATTGAGATCGTGATCACCGGGTGGGTCCACCTTCTGAAATAAACACAGGAAATTTCGCACAAACGGTGGGATCTCGAATACCAAACCGGTAGCGTTGACGAGGTGCATATATTCAAAAAGCCCTCTGTTTCCGGTGAGAGTGATGCAAGAGATAATCAACTGTTAGAGAGCAAGGAGTAATTTGTTTAGTAACGATTCATTGGCAAGCTAGCTAACTTGCAAACTATAAGGAGCTCCGGCCGAAATGAATGCGACAGATAGCTATTTGATTAGCGCTTGACATGTAAGAAACAAAAAAATAAAGAGTGCTCAACTGTCAGTAAAAAACCAAACACGTGCACGCGTGACCATCGTACCAAAACGGACGCGAACAAATTCTGTGCGAAAATTTGGTCGGAAAAATTCGTTAGAAAAAGGGAAAAGTTCGTTTAGCACACGAATAACGAATCGGGGAAATACTTCTCCCTTAATCAGAGAAGAACCAATGAAAACGTGAAGTTCGATTAACGTTTGTAGCTCACGCAAGGTAACCAAGTGTAATATTACATAATTTGTGTATTCATGTCAGAAGTAATTCACGCTAGAATCAAAACAAACGCGGTAAAACTACAGCAACTTCTTTCAAGCAAGCAAAGTAGCACAAAAGATCATTTACCTTGACTGGTTCTAGAAAATGCACAGAATAATAACAAACTGAACGAGGCAATAATCGATGTCTTCATCGTGTTCCCAAGACAAGTTCACGCAAATGAATTTGAGGAATGTCCGATGATGCGCCTGCAGTATCTACATATGATTATTGGTCCCAGGAGTTTACCAATCAAATCTCAACAGTACGAAGTTTATTAGGATTGAGAAAAAATCTTTAAATAGACAAAAAAAAAAAAACAATATCTGTGAAACTGCATTACGCGAAATTTGTGGCCACGGAATAAACAATTCCACGTCGTGTAGAAATAAATATATTGCATTTCAATTCCTCAACAGCGTAAATGACGTATTGAAACTCAAATAACAAACAATTACAAAAGTCACACTATGGACGATATAAAGATTTAATAACAAATAATAAGACGGAGAGAGGACTGTAAAACGCTTACATTGTTACGGCCACAGAAAAGACCAAAACTGTTACTGCAAAGGGTAAAATTTCCGCATAGCCCCATACTACATTATGCATTCAGTTCTTAGATAGAGAAAACAATAACAAAAAACAATACATTGCCATTGGGAAAACAGATTTGTTTTACAATAGTATGGGGCTGCGCGGAAATTTTACCTTGCGTTTAGCGCAAAAAACGGGAAAACAGGCATATTTATGCTATATGTACATCGATAAATTATGCGAATTAGCTCTAAGGCGGTAATAAGGTGGCAATAAAAGGACACAAAAAAGGCGCTAATGAAACAATGAATATAAACGTTCGCTATTTACGGGGTGAAAAGACTTACATAATGAACTTTAACCCTTTAAACCCTAAGAGTGACCAGCATCTAATTTCTCTGTACAATATGTATCCTGAATCACACATTAAGGTAGAGGAAATGGTCACCAGGGAAGGAACCTTTTGATTGGCAAACAAATTCTCCTTGTCAGCAGCTTGGAAATGTATAAAGAATAGCCACTTGGCTCCTAAATTCTTCAAAGTGGTAGCCAATTCAAAAAAAGTTGGGCGCCATTTTCAAAGACAAACAAAACCTTTTTTCTTTTTTTACGCTGTCATCGTTCTAGAAATTAAGTTAGGGAAAAGATCTTTAACGTGCTACAAATTGGACACCAGAATGGATGATATGCAAAGTTCAAGCTCACCTAAATCCAAGATGGCGTCTAGTTAGCTGCGTTTTGGAAACAAACTTAACGAGGAAGTTTGCCGCGGATTTATCTTTGCAAATCTTTTTAATTCATTATATCCCTAGGTAAGGTTATGATGAAGCATTCTAGTCGCCAATTTGGCGACTAATTTTCAGGATTTGGTCGTCAAAGTGAAAAATTTAGTCGCATTGGTGCCTGTATTAAGCGCAATTTCACGCCCTGGAATATGCATACTGATGTAAAGGGTTAAACATGCATTTGAACAAATTTTGGAAAACAAGGGGAAAGAAGACTATTTCCTTTTCAAGACCATGCAAATGCACTTGGTACATGCGGTTTTCGGTGTTTATGATATTCAGCTTGCGTGACAAGTTTGACGAGGAATCACCTGGAGAGGGAATTAGTGTTCCACTGCGTTGAGGAAAATCTCGGCGGAGCGCTGGTTTGACAATCAATAGGACTGTATCTTTCCGATTTCTTGCGTTTATTTACGATGCATACAATATCCAAACTTTCTACATTCAGTCATTCTCAAATCTTCTATTACAAGATAGTGATTCTATTTATGTGCTGTTACAAAGGAAATATACGCCTAAACCACGTAAAACCAAGATTGACATTACTTATTCGTGATTTACTAAAATCCCAAGCTATTTCCTGTCAACTTGATTTTAACGGTTGTTTCCCATTACACGCCGATCAACAATTCTGTAATTTACAACCCCACGAACGCACTATTTGCAGCACGAATGACACATCACGCAACATCACAGGATGTTCCAATCGAAACGCATCCGCACAATTTCCCAAGGCAATTCCTTATCTAATTATTTCAGATTATAAATGATTTTCTGCATCACGAGCATTCTTACTACAAGTCTGCCATTACCGTGCTACGTTCAATTATACACCTAAATCTTAAGTAACCCAACTACCATCAAACCCTTAGCTTAATTACAATATTAGAAATAAAGTGTCACGCGATACGCTTGCAAGATTATCAAGACAATTAGTATCTAAAGAAACTGTGGCGCTGCGTTGGTGGGGGGTATAACTAGATGATTTGGTTTTATCAACAAAGTTGATTATGCAAATTTTCACTGTAAAGAGCTGCTTTTGTAAAGCTGGCGTTTCGAGCGTTGGTGCTTCGACAGGGCGGTTGACGAAGAGCTAACGCTCGAAACGTCACAAAAACAGCGAGGGACTGTGTCCCCTCTTGCCCTTCCATTTCCAGTGTAACTTTCTAGCAGAGAGGCAGCGCTCTGTTTTTTACATGTCTGAGGCCGCTATGAAGGGAAGGTCAAGAGAACGAACACTTCCAGCCTTAGCTCTTATCTCACCATTATGCCAATAATATAGTTAAAGGAAAATCCGGAAGCGCTCAAGAGATAAAATTGACCTTTACGAGGCTAAACACTTACATGATTGACAACCTTTCAAGTTTCTTGCAACTGCGTTCCGCATCGTCTCGATACTGTCAAATTGTCTGGGTATTATTCAAATCACTAGTCAGCTAAAAGGACGCCCTCTTAAAAATATTTTGGTGACGTGGCATAGAAATTACAAATATGAATAGCACAAATATCTCACCAGTGTCTGTTTTTCAACTGTTCTCCCGAGTACATGGTATTTTTTTTAGTCAAGACGTCTGCGTTCTAGATTGGAAGGTTTTCGAACTCAAAAAAAGCTTCATCGATGCGTCGAAGCACCTCGAGGAAGGACGACTTTGAAGCATCATAAATAGGACGATTGGCCAGAAATTCAAATTCTCCTCTCAAAAGATGTTTGATTTCTTCGTAATCTCCAAATGCGAGAATAACTTTTCCGAGTTGGTTCGCATACAACAGTTCTGCCTTACAGTAATTGTTCTGAAAGTATTCCTTATTGAGCCAGACTAAGAAACAGTCGCATTTTTCGATAGCAACTGTCAGCGCTCCTTGCAAATTAGCGGCCATCGGCATGTCATCTATGTCAAGCCATGTTTTATAACCAAGAAATTTGAGCCCATTCCGGAAAGTTTCCATCAATGGCTTGTCCTTCGATTTGTTGCTTAAAAAGAAGCTGAATTGGGGGCTGTATTTTGTGTACCTGATCTTTTTAATCACCAGAGGCACGATGTTTTCTTCAAGGTACTTACGAAGCTTTTCGGGCCATCCAACGCTGTCGTTTATTTGATAAAGCTTGCCCGGATTTGCGAGCCTCTCCTCTATGTCAAGGGAATCCACTTTTTCCTCGCTTTTTATTCCCAGGTAGACACATCTGACAATTTCCATCGTCAACTTCGTGCTTTCAATGTACTTAAAGTTAGTCAAGCGAACTTTAATTCCCTTTTCGAGAGCGAAGTTAAAAGTAAACACAAGCCACCAGAATCCAGTTCTCTCGTTGAGGCCATGATTCTCCTCGATTTTGATGTTGTACTTGTTCAGATCTGTCTCAATGACACGGTATTGTACCTGGGAGAGATCGATTCTTTCTGCCATTGCAGAGTAAACATGAATGGCAGGTAATCGGGCGTAGCCTTTAGTTATATCCTCACACCTTATAACCAATAGAATGCGGTTTTACTTCTTCCAATCAAAGTGCGTTGTGATCGTGTCTCCCATGTAAAAATATCGGATTTCCGCGCTCGAAGTTTGAGGATATTATGGACTATGCTTGACACCTTTTGGGACGCTTCGGATTGGTGAAAGCGTAAGATTCTGGTAGCGTTTGTAAGTGCGAGGTATTTGGGAAATTTTCTTCCATAAGTTGGAAAGCCTAGGAAGACGAGAATTTGACATTGCCTCATGGCTTTCCTTACCTTTCTGTTGGAGCTAGTACAATAAGGTAAGGTTTTCGTTGCACTTCATGCTAGTATTTTTTTAAATTTTAAATATTACAACATTCTTCAAAGATCGCGTTCAAGTTTTGTGCTAAATTCCAGTAGATTTCATGTAGGTGCATGATACCTGGATTCACTGAATCCCTCTGTGTCGAGGACTGACTTTTTTATTTTGTTTGGGACATGCAACACCAGATATTACACGATTAAAAAACAGGACAGATCTCGGTGTTTCAATGATCAAAAACTTGTGATTTTCTTCCAGCCTCAATAATTTGTATTATGTTACATGTAGCAATCTCATAGTGTCTACACTGGTGGCTATTATGGGTTCAGTGGAAGACATGTATTCATTGTAAATGTGTGGGGCTACGCAAAAATTCAGCTAGGATGTATGGTCGATGTTAAACTTCACATATCCTGGAAAGTTAACTTACAAACTGCTTACACATATGATGAAGATCTGGTCTCTTATAAAGGATAGGGTGCTGGCTCCTAACGCTCCGCAGCAAGTAACAGTTGGGTCATCATTCTCTTTGCTCACCCAGAAGGGCACAAATTTGCAACAAAATTACTTATCACTTAATAATATGTGCTTTTCTATTTAAATCAGTGGCTGACATATGCCACTTTCTTTCTTTTGATCTATTTAGAATAAAGCCCCTTGAACTAAATTATGAGGATACCACAATGATATGTATTTTATGTTACCACATTTTCATACTTTTTCAATTGTGTGTCACAAATATTAAAATGAAATAAATACTAATTCATGCACAAATGAATACTTAATTCAATACAGACTATTGCCCATTATTAGCGATTATTGCTCCTACACTTGTTAGCAAGAACTTGGTCTTGTTGGCATTCATTGTGAGTGTTTGGTAATCCATATATCAATGGAGACACTCTGCAACTATCTTTGTGAAGAAAATACCAATCCTTTCACCCTTACTTAATGTCATTCATACAGGCATGGATGAGAACCAGCAGCAAAGCATAGTAAACAAAAGTGCTGATGAAAGGTATCTGTTGTGCTTAATTTTTGTCCTTGGTGTAAAAATCAGTTTCCTTTGGTTTTATTAATGATATGAATGAAAAATGCATTTTGTGTAAAGAAAGATAAAATTTAGCTCCTAGCCTAAGTTATGGTGAGATGATAGCAGAGCTCACAGAGTGTAGCCCCATAATTATACAAAATAGTAGTAACCCATCAAGTCGAAAAAATTTGGATGTACGACCACATGACCGTACGACCGTACAAGGTGCTAGATTTAACATGCATGGTCAACTGTACCGCAGGCACGCCAGTGCCACAGCTTTGTTCAATAGTCCAGTGGTCAGTGCACTGGGCTCCGAGTCAGACGACCTGGGTTCAAGTCCTGGCCGGGGTAAGGCGTTGTGCCCTTGAGACATGCGGGGGAAAAAAATACGAGCTCCGCTTTTAGGCTTGGCTAAATCTATATATTATGTCACTATCAATTTGGCCTCTTTTAAAAGTAAAAGAATAAACTAAGGATAAAACTAAACCACAGCATACCTATACTAAACCCTCAGCCTATTCGTATCAATATTATTATTTTTTCTGGTGTTTACCCAATAGATTCAATCCACTTACAGACAAAGATGGTGCCTGTACATTTTACCTTTATTCTTAGGGTAAGACACTATAGTAGAAGAAAGCAATGTTTCACAAAACAACAACATTATGTATGCAAATTTTAAATTTTTCAGTTTTTTTCTGCTTGACTTTTTGAGTGGTTCCAGGATTTTCTTGTGCAAAGAGTTCTAGGTGAATGTACCAGTCACCATGTTTTTTGGTATGATGGTTTACATTGATTGCTGTGCTCTACATTCATCATGGAAGTACCAATTAATTCCTTTATCATCAGTAATTGCTTTAGATATACTGTGTCAGAATGATGGTAAGGAACATGTTACTTGCACTATAAAGTACTGAAAGTAATTTGTAACTCTCCACGTTTGTTATTATTTTACAATTGATATGCTTTGCACAGCTGTTGTGTGATAAGTGAAGAAGTTAACTGTATTTTAAAAATTAAATCACTTTAAACTGCAGCGAAAGCGATTACTTTTATAGTTATAAAAGTATCAAAGGTAACCTCTCTGAGAACCTTCCCTAGTGTCTGTGTTATAGAGGTATCCACTAAATATAGGTTAATTTATTAGGAAATGTGGGAAGAATAGTATGCAACTGAATGATGCAAGTTTCAGCCCGTTGAGGGTTCTTGTATTTTTTATCGTGGTGCTACCAGTAATGGTGTCTCAGTCAATTTCTAACTTAGTATTTAAGTACTAGTTGTGCTTGTTGATTATTTGACTTTCCCTAAACGTTTTTTATCGGTGGAGCTAAAAGAAAAAGTTTGTGAGGCCACGCTTTAAAAAAATGACAGGAAGGCCTTAAAAGCTTACTTAGATCTTTATGAAGATGGAGGGATATTTTATTGGCAGTTACATGTAAAGATAGGTTGCTAGGGCCACTTACTAGGAGTAGGTTTATAAGTTAAAAATACTACATTTGAGCTCAAATTTTACACAGACATTATTCAGGTATGATGGAAATTTAAAAGCACATTCTTGTCTCATTCATAAGCAATGCTACATACTCCACAGGTGTCAAATTTATCAAATTTTGTGTTCAGAATTATTGTTGGCCCTGATATTTTTAACATTATGTAACATTTAACATTATATAACATTGTTTTTAACAAACGATAAAATTTTTTGGTTTTGATCTGAGCAATTAAAAACATTATTGTCTTGTTTCCAAGGTTTCCAAGGAAGGTTTCTTCACTTCATGCCTGGGTCCTTATGTACATTATTCTGTTTTATGGAAAATAACAGTTAACTTGAGCAGGAAAAATCCAATCAGCCTAGAGAGGCCAGAAAATAATTGTGCTTAGAAATAACAGTTACCTCCAGCTGGGAAACAAAAATGACAGAACAGCTTGCAGGGGCTGGAAAATACAAGTAAGTACTGTAAAAGAATATTTATTCCTTGCTGGTAATCTCAGAACAGTTGTGTGGGGCTGGAAATTAACAGTACTGGAATACAACAGTTAACTCCTGCTGAGAAACTGAGAACAGCTGAGAGGGGCTGGAAAATAACAGTGCTGGAATACTAGAGTTATCTACTGCTGTAATTCAGAAAGAGGAAACTTTTAAATACTACGCTACAATACACTGAGCATGCAATAATATCTTCCATTGCCTCAACTCCAGTTACTTGTAGAAAGGTCATCTCTGAACCATTAAATAGGATCTGCTTTACTAGTTATGTACAGTTTGCAATACATTAATGAAAGAAAAAATCTTAACCCTTTAACCCCTAAGAGTGGCTAGCCTCTAATTTCTCCTTACAATATCACCCCTGATATCACCTCACATCCCACATGAATCAAGGAAATGACCAACAACTTATAAAGCTCTTGATTTTTAAACAAATTCTCCTTGTCAACAGCTCAGGAAATGTATAGAGAGTGGTATGGAGAATATGCCTACTGATGTTAGGGTATAAAGGGTTAATCGATAAGTGTATGTTAAAGGTAGCAATCATAGATAGCTAGTACTTATTCACAAATACTATATTTTGTTTAGCAGATTGTAGCTTCAATGGATGCCAGAAATATGTTTATGAAAAACTGGCAGATACTGTTTTGTGCATTATGCTGGTGAAGACAGCAGTGCAAGAATAGGTGAAGATGGAATCAAGAAATGCAAACAGGAGTGAGTCCATTTAGTCCTGGAAAAACCATGGAAGAGGTTTCTGCTGGTTTTGGTGTTGCTTTTCCTGGTGAGTATGAATCAGGAGATTTAGAGGAGGATTATGACGATATTAATGATGATTTATTTGTTCTCCCCCCTCCTCTTTCACCATTAGACATTCAACTACTGGACAAAGACACAGCTGTCAAAGGAAAACAATATTCAAGGTAGTTAATAATTACAGGGCATGAAATTGCGCCCGATGCAGGCACCAATGCGACTAAATTTTTCCACTTTGACCACTAAATCCTGAAAATTAGTCGCCAAATTGGCGACTAGAATGTTTCATCATAACTTTACCAAGAGATATAGTGAATTAAAAAGATTTGCAATGATAAATCCGTGACAAACTTCCTCGTTAAGTTTGTTTCCAAAACGCAGCACATGCATCTCAATCAATAACTAGACGCCATCTTGGATTAAGGTGAGCTTGAACGTTGTATACCATCCATCTTATTGTCCACTTGTAGCACATTAAAGATCTTTTCCCTAACTTAATTTTGGAGGGTCTATCTAGAACACTGACAGCGTAAAAAAAGGTCTTGTTTGTCTTTGAAAGTGGTGACCAACTTTTTTTGAATTGGCTACCACTTTGAAGAATTTAGGAGCCAAGTGGCTATCAGAAAAAAAAATTAATTTCACGCCCTGAATTATGTTGACCATTTTCACTCTTTGTCTCTTTGTTTTTGTAAGATGAGTCTTTTGCTACATTGTTCCATAATTATATATCTCTATAAACCCTGTCTGTTTTTTGTTATTTGCTAATGAAAGCATTGTGTGCTTTTTTATAGCCAGTAAACCAGATGATGAAGATTTTGTCCTGTTTGAGGTCCTCAAGCCTCCCAAAGATGCTTCTTATGAGGTATGCAGAATTTGTGAGTGATTTATAGTTTTCTTCTGTTTAGGTTTTCTCTTACTTTATTATTATTATTATTATTTATTATTATTATTATTTATTATTATTATTATTTATTATTATTATTATTATTATTATTATTATTATTATTTATTATTATTATTACTTAAAACTGTGCATAGATGTTCTTGTAACATGCTAAGTAGTTTAGGGGAAAATCATTATTATCATTATTTTATACTATGCAGAGATGTTCTTGTAACATGCCAAGTAGTTTAGGGGAATGTTATTATTATTATTATTATTATTATTACAATTATTATCACTATTGCTTTTGTTTTATATGTCCTTTGATGACCAGTTTTTGGTGTTTTTTATTGCCTTATGTCTGCAATAAATTTTAAGGGAAATTATTATAAATACATCTAATGGTTGATGTTCCCTCTTTGATTGCTAAATTTGTTTGTTGGGTAAACAGAAGGATGAGGTTGTTTTCATTGTCCCTTGAGTTAATTCATAGCATATTATCATTAACATACTGATACTCAAGGTTAGTGGTACTTCATTAGCAAAGAAGTCCAACTAACCCAGTGAAAGTAGGCCAAATGTGCATTTTAATACCAATTTGGTAAAGACAGTGTTTCAAGAGCTGAGTGTCATTAAAGTTTCTTTTCTAATGGAGACTGATTTTCTTCACAGATTCCAACCCTACAGATTCTCTATTTGAAAGAAGGAAGGTATTCCAAGGCCTTAATGCCATCACTGAGCATAATCTTTTCAAACTAAGGAAGGAGAAAGGGATAAATGTTCCAAGAGGGTGTTACCATGTAGTGATTACAACAGAAGAAATGGTATATTTTGATTACTGGAGGCAGGTAAGGATGAGTAGGTTGAGACAAAGATTTTTCATTACAAGTGGGATGGAGCCTTGTAATTTTGGACCTAGGAGACCACAGATGTGGCAAGTATCTTAAAGCAAGTTGATAGTGATGGATTGGTCTTATTGAGCATTACAGAACAGCATCATTATGGAATGTGGAGAGACTGGAAATGGACGCAACTTGAGGAGAAAGACTTTTTGTAATTTTAAATAAAATCAGTAAAGGAAAGCTATTTGGCACAGTATAATACTAATAATTAAATACCTAACAGGTCATGTGTTCACTCTAACAGTTTCAATTGGGTTTTGAAGCATGCTTAATTCAAGCTATATACAAAATTCCCAGCTCCAAATTGTGAATAGTACCTAGACATGGCCAGAGAACATCAATAGAGAATGTGACCTCTTATAAGCATGTTCACATCAGACCCATGAATTTGTCCACAAAACCTCCTTTGGAGTTGTTTAGTTCCAGAGTTTCATATCCAGTGCATTTCCAGAGCAGTAAAATTTTAAAAAATGACACAAACATTTAAATTGCAAAGAATTTATTTAAAATCTTTACGTTTACAGCAACTCATATAAAAAAGAAATTTTACCAACCATTATGAGTGAATGGCTGAATAAAATAGCCTTGACTCCTCGATCTGGTGTCAGCTGCTTTATTTTATTCAAAAGTATATAAGGGCAAATTGGAAGGACAGAAAGAGTGACTTTCTGTAATCTGTCAAATAGTATTGAATAGTTAGAGCCAAATAGTTGCAAGTGAGTAAAAGGATAGAAATGATTTATTGTATATTAGTGCACTGTAGTCTACTTTATATTTCACAAATTCCGAAAAATCACTATTTCGCCTGAAGTTATTTACTTGAATTATTTGTACTGAAGATGTTTATTTTTTTTTTTTATACTACCCATTTGTTTGTTACATGAGCAAATGAAGCCTGAATTTTGAGTTTAATCAATTACGGTTTGCACATGTGGTTTGAAAAAATATTTAGCACCAATCACTCCTGCTTAAATGACACAAAAAAGTATTAATTTGTTCCAAACACTTACAGTGTATCCTATTTATCAAGATGATTTTATCAACAAAGGATATCATAGCAGGAAAAAGGTAACCAAAATTTATATGAAACATTGAAAAAGGAAAAACTAGAATGATTTTACTCAACCCATGAAAAAGTATGTAAACAAACCTGTATGACACCAGCACGCATGTTTGATTGTTGGATCACCCCATGTTGTGTGTGGAAAACATGACATAAACCAAAAATTTTGTAATGCACAGTAGTTTATGACCAATTTCACCGGTTGGTTAAAATTACTCTTCATATTTATCTACAATATCTTTTTGAGAAAGAAACTGTGACAAAGCCTTGACTTAGCATTAGCATGAATAATAGTTATTGCTCAATTGTCTTCTTTCGTGATGCATGTTAATAGGGACAAGAATGTAATACTTGTTAATATTGTCATCTGTTAAAAATGTAATTAAATCTGAATTACTTAAGTTTTCTTTTCTTTTCTTTTCTCATATAAGCATACTGCTTTTTGGGCAGATGTCTCTCTGGAATGAGATCCCTTCGGAGTGGCTTCCTTTGCACTCGACTCTTTAAATATTCTGTTACAATGTTTTATCTGACGGTGCATAGAACCCGTAGTCCTCTACGTAGATGTACACGTTGCTTGTCAAGCAAAGATAAATCAATAGTTTGCCGTCAATATATGCACATGCATCTGTGTATACAGCGACTTCTGGGAAAATTTCCAATTGTCTGAAAAATTTTTTTTAACGCTAAATAGACTTAAATTCCAAGGATGTGAGTAATATACAGACCGGTCTCAATAATCAGAACATCACAGTGGTGAAACATAGCATCAAAACCTGCAGACCGATAAATATTTTATAGGGAAGGCCACATTCTCTTTTCCAGCGATAAAAATCTCCTCAGGCTCAGTGATATTTGTCCAATAGTCTCCAGGCTTTGTGCAGGGATTCTATGATGTACCGGCTAAAATTATTGACTTCACCCGAGGGTAACCTTTCGACACCTACCCCCATCCCAACATTCTTTTACGCGAATAAAGGGTACAATTCCGGCGATCTAACTTACAAATGCGGTTTATCATCCCCATGCATTTCCATGTTTTAAGCGCATTCGAAAATCAAAACAATCAAATAGCTCGTACCCTGCATATGTAATGTATTCCAACTTGACATATCCAATATTAACCGCTATTTTCCATTTTTCATAGAATTCTTACAATTTATCCAGCAAGTAGAATATATCCCAACATGCCAAATCCAATCTTCACCCTAATTTTCCATTTTCTGAACCAACCTACGAGTGGATAATATCATGACTTTTTCATATCCAATCTTTATCCCGATTTGTTCAAATAACTCTAGAAAAACGGGGTAAACCGTGACAATTCTTTCCACGAGTGGTTAATATCATGACTTGCAATGTCCAATCTGTCCCTGATTTTCCATTTGTTCAACGAATTCCAGAAAACGGGATGAGTTCTGACAATTCATCACGTAAGTGAACTATAACCCAAGTTGTCATGTCAAATCTTTACCCATATTTTCCTTTGTTTTAATGAATTAGTTCTAGAAAAATTGGGTAAACTCTAAGAATTCATGATACCCTTAGCTCCCATATGCTATCTTTAATCCGAGTTTCCAATTTTGCCAAATCAAATCTTTAGAAAGTTTCCATTTTTTCGTTTATTAGAGACAAGTAAGGTAAAATCTGACAATTAATCCCACATGTGGGATACATCCTAGCTTTTCATAATCAATCTTCACCCCGATTTTCCGTTTGTTGAGTCAATTCTGGAAAAACGGGGTAAAATCTGAGTACTCATCCTGTCAATGGAATACATCCTAACTTGTCATATTCAATCTTTGTCGCGGTTTTTTGCATTTTTCCAAGAATTCTGTAAAAATGGGGTAAAATCAGACAATTCATCCTACAAGTGAAACATACCCCAACTTGTGATTTGTAATCTTTACCCGATTTTCCATTATTTTCAGAGAATTCTAGAAAAAAATTCATCTCATAAAAAGAATATATCCCAACATGCCAAATGAATTTTTCAATGAATTCTGAAAACGGGCTAAATTGTGTCCATTTATCTTAAAATTGGAATAAATTATAATTCGGAACATCCCTCATTTTCCGTTTTTTTCTAATTAATTCCAGAAAAACGGTGTAAATTCTGAGAATTCATCCGTATGTGGAATGCATTCTAAGTTTCCATATCCAATCTTCAACCCTATCTATCCATTTTTATTTCAATGAGTTCCAGAAAAACGGGGTAAGTTATGAGAATTCAAACCGTAAGTGGAATATATCCTACGTTGTCATATCCAATCTTTGCCCCGATTTTCCATTTTTTGACGAATTAATTCCAAAAAAACAGGGTAAACTCTGAGAATTCATGTTACAGGTGGATATTACCCGAAGTTCCCGAATGCCATCTTTGCTCAGATTTTCCATTTTTTTCGTGAATTCTAGAGAAGCGGGACAATTTCTTAGAATTCATCCCGCAAGTGGAATATAACCTACTTTGTCATGTCAAATCTTTCCTGACTTTCCATTTTTTAGTGAATTAATTCCAGAAAAACAGGGTAAACTCTGAGAATTCATGCTACAAGTGGATAATACCCGCAGTTCCCATATGCCATCTTTACTCTGATTTTTCAGTTTTTTTCAAGGAATTATGGAAAAACGGGGCAAATTTTAATAAATTATCCTCCAACTGGAATATATCCTATTGACCTGCCACATCTAATCTAGTTTACCCCGATTTTCCATTTTTTTAAATGATTATAGAAAAACGGGGTTCATTCTGAAAAGTCATCCTCCAAGTGGAATTTATCCTACTGACTTGCCATATCCAATCTTTACCTCGATTTTCCATTTTTTTTTTCAATAAATTCTAGCAAAACGGGGTAAATTCTGAGAATTCATGCTACAAGTGGATAATACCCGTAGTTCCCATATGCCATCTTTACCCCAATTTTCCATTTCTTTTTTAAGCGATAAATTCTACGATTAGCGCTAATCGTTAGCCCCCAAAAATAAAGCAACGCACAATAACTTAATATGTATTTGGACGTTTTTCATAACGCCCGCTTTCAGTTATTATTAACTTCCATGGAAATTAAAAACTTAGGCACACCCACGTGCTATGTAATATACTGTTCCCCGTTAATTGTAGTCATTCTCTAAAGAAGTCTCAATTAGAGACGAAACGCGTCGGAAATAAACGAGGAGCTTACATCTACAAGAAGTGTTTCTTTGTGCGGCTCGCCAGTCTTACTTAAAAATGAAAAAAAAAGGAAAAATTATAAATTTTAAAAAAAGTTTCTTTTCTCAATGAATTCTAGAAAAGCGGGATGAATTCTGAGAATTCGTCCTTCAAGTGGAATAAATCCTAGGTTGCCAAATCCAATCTTTAATCCGATTTTGCATTTTTTTCCTTTTTTTTTAATGAATTCTAGAATTACGGGGTAAATTTTGAGAATTTGGCCCGTAAGTAGCTAATACCGTAAGTTCCCATATGCCATCTTCACCCCAATTTTCCATTTGATCAGTGAATTTTAGAACAAAAAGAAGTAAATTGTGGATGATACCCGAAGTTCCCATATGCTATCTATACCCCGATTTCCCATTTTTTTTTCTGAAAATTCTTTAGAATAACGGGGTAAAATCTGAGAATTCATCCTTCAAATGGAATAGATCCTAGGTTGTCATATTCAATCTTCAAACCGATTTTCTATGCTTTTTTTTCATTGAATTCTAGATAAACGGGATAAATTCTGCGAACTCATCCCGCAAGTGATAGCAATACGCTAAGTTCCCATACGGTATGCCATCTTTACCCCGATTTTCCATTTGATAAGTGAATTCGAGAAAAACGGGGTCAATTCTGAGCATTCATGCTACAAGTGTATAATACCCGAAGTTCCCATATGCTATTTTTACTCCGATTTTCTATTTTTTTTTCAGTGAATTTGACAAAAAACAAGGTAAAATCTGAAAAGTTATCCTCCAAATGGAATAGATCCCAAGTTGCCATATTCGATCTTAAACCCGATTTTCCATTTTTTTTCCAATGAATTCTAGAAAAACGGGATTAATTCTGTGAAATTCATCCTTTAGGTGAATTCTATCCTATTGACTTGCCATAGCCACCTTTTGCCCCATTTTCGATATAATCATTATGTGAATTTGTCATAAACAGGGTAAAATAGGACAAATCCACCCAAAAGTGCAATAAATCTACAATAATTTAGAAACAGTACTAAAAAAAAACAGCTAAAATCAGCGGAACCGCAATAAAATCACAATCTACTACTTCAATTTTTTAACGGAGGGCTCAGTGTGATACGGCAAAAACCAACATTACTCAAAATAAACAACTGAAGGTCAAACTTCTGTGATTGGAGGAAGACTTCGTGACGCAGACAAATAATCACAACTTGGACTTCTCAGTCGATCTCACCTCCGGCAGATCAGGTGAAGTGTCAAAAATATATAATTTTATGTCGACGAACCATAATCTATGATCTTCAACTATTAAAGAAAATAAAGCAATTGTGATATGACGCCACATTGTGTTTTTGTCTTAGCTTGTGGCTAAAATGCTGTCATTGAAGTCGCAAGTCGAGCAATGAAGACTGTAAATAAAGCAAGGCTGCAAATAAAACTTGAACAATAACGCATCCTTTAGTTGAAAGTCGCTTTGTTATTCACGCGCGGCAAATTGTTCTTCCAAGTTTAGGTTATAACAACGATGCGTTCACTCTGCGTTAACGAACGATTGAACTTCAAGGAAAGCAATATGAGAGGCCAATGATCCGGTTCGTAATGATCATGCGAACAGCATGTTTTCCTCAGATCAGTTACCGGAAAATACTGGTCAAATTTTCCACTTATCCCGACCCCCTTGAATGAGTACTTTTGCTTGAAGACATAACTACAACGGAGTCTCTTAACCAGTCCCAAGCCGCGTGTCGCTCGATAGATCGCAGGATATGATTGGCTACATTATCACATCATTCACGTATCACATTACGTCAGAGGACATATCTGCAATAAAAGGACATAAGTGCAACGGTACAATCGGGCTCCGTACGCAAGCGGAAATAGTTGACCTTTGCCCAGCTGATATATAAAATTCGAGAAAGAGAGGAGATTGGAAACTGGAAAAGGTGAGGATTCTGAGAGCTAGTACACGAAGTGTACGGTGTTATTGAGCCAAATGTTAAAACAAACGAATGTTTGCTTCTCCGATTTAATGAAAGACACAATAGAGAGACTTTCATAATGACCTACTCAGTGAAATTGTGCATCAGAGGAAAAAATTCGTACCCTTTCACGGGCTCGATCTAGACCGTGGAAGCCTTATTCCTTCTTGTTGGATTCTGGGAAAAATCTTAAAGGGAGAAAAGACATTATTCTCTTATAAATGGAAGTGTAGACCTTGTGCACCGTCTCAACATTTTATAAAATCATAGGCTGTCCCGCGGCCATTTCAGTCATTTAAAAAAAGAAAACTGTAAGGGCCTGTTTACATGGAGGTGGGGGACCCCAGGTAGGTGAGGTAACCTGCCTGTCCATACAATTTCTTATTTTATTTTGATCACGTTTACCTGATAGGTGGGGTGACCCACCTAGGCGGGTTGCCCGGTCTGTCAGGTAGGGTAACCCGGTCAGCCGGGGCGACAGTTTGCCATGTAAACGTGTCAAGGTGGAGTAACCCGCCTAGCCCGGGTCGCGTTGATGGCCAGAAGCTGAAAAGCGAAACATGTATGTTTTAAACCTTTGTACATCTCTTAGCCGTCTCACGGCAGAAATCACCAGAAACCGCCACGGACACACAAGGAGTGTAAAATGTTCACATTTCGGAATATTTAGCGTTGTAAATCGACCATATTTGGTTTCCCAAACTATTCCGTATAACTTATACTATTCCGTATAACTTACGAAACCAAACACCGCGTAACACAACGCGTGACGCCTCCATGAATAAATACGTATGTGTCCGAGAATTAATCTTTCGTCTTTTTCGAGATGCAACAACCTCAAGAAACCTCACCCCAGCACCCCGGGGTTGTAAGATTGCATGTAAACGCGTTTTATTTTTCAACCAGGGATAGGCGAGTTACCTCGTCTACCTGGGGTCCCCCACCTCCACGTAAACAGGCCCTAAGAGAGGTTTGGAAATAAAGCGCAAGTCATGATCAGTTTTTCACGTGATTCTCTAAATGTCGATAGGGTAACATATGCATGGATCGTGAAGTCTGAAGAACCAGCTTGAATAAAACTGTCATTACGTCACAAGATAAAGACGAAATTATCCGGATGTTTCGCTCCATTGCATGTTCGCCCACCTTCGCGAGTTCATCGACCACCTGTGGTAAAACAAGCCGTGTGGTTTTCTTTTTAAATCGTCCGATCTTCCTTATATCTTTTCCACGTTTAATCTGTTTTTAAATCATTTCATCCTTACACACACACACACACACCCTCCCAGTACAAACAGTGCTAGCACCTCTTGCAATTTCCCTTTGTTTGATTTCCACTAAACTCCCAAACAAAGTTCTTTCTATGAGAAGTCTCTTATCTCAACAAGACTACAGCCGTTGTTGTGATGATTTTTTTTTGTTATTTTTTTACATACCTCATTTAATTTGTAATGTTAAAAATGTGTCCATTTCATATATTTCACCTTTAGGCAAAATGAACCCAATACCAGTAAAATGAATAACAGAATATGTACAGGTGATAACTTCTCTTGCTTTTTCCCATAAACATAAAACATCTCTTCTATACTTTATAAACATTTATATTTTCATGTGCCTCAAAAAAAAAAATCAACAAAAAGTAAAACTTGTAGTGTCACTAGTGAGTATGGATTTTCTGGGGAATTAACCCTTTAAACTCTTAGAGTGACCAGTATCTAATTTCTCCTAACAGTAATACTGCTGAATCATTCATTAACATTGTGAGAATAAAGGAAATGACAACCAACCTAAGAGGCTTTGATTGTTAAAGGAATTCTCCTTACCAGTGCCAGAGGAAATGTAAAGAGATGCATATGGAGAATATGGCTTCTGATATTAGCACGGCAAACATTAAAAAAAGAGTACAAAAACTGTTGCACTTTGATTTTAAATTGCTGAGATACAAATGATCGTGGAGAGTGATATAAAGAGATACTTTTCAGAGAGTATGTGAGCAGTTGGTAGGCAATAAGTTACCAGTCAGTCTCCAGCTTTAGGTCACCATCTTCTATGTTACTCTACTGTTTTCACATAACTAAGGGCTGGTGCCTCTGGAGACGGGGTCTGAGGAAACCTACAACCACACCCTTCTAAGGGGGACATTTTGATTTTTTCCCCAGACATTGGTGTTTGCCTTTATCAGGACATTATCAACATGATCATCCTCTGCCTTTATGTCAGTCTTGCCAGTCTCAGTTACTCATTAGGCATTTTAGTCTCACAGTTTCCATGATAAACATGAATTGTCTCAGAACAGTTGTGATATAAATTAAACACTTCTGCATAACCATGATCCCTCCACCATGTGCAGAGCTGACGATTCCATGAACAAGGAAGCACATGGAAAAAATCAGGATAATCCAAGTTGAGCAATGAGTAAAAATCTTGATCTCCAAGATGTCCTTGGAAGGTGTATTTTCTTGCTATCTCCATCACTGCATTGTTATCAAGAAGCTGGTTGTATTTCTTTGAGTCACGCATATGTTGTAAGTCAATTAACATGACGCCACTGTTAAAACCTGTTGCTCCATCTGGAGGCGGTTCTCCAGCTTTTGTACCAGCATGCCTATCACGATACATGTGTAGAATGTGTCGGTAAACAGGCTGCTGCTCTCGTGCTAGACCAAATATGGTTGTGGCTTTAAAGTTATCAAATATTGCAAACAGTTGCTTGATGTCTGCCTGGAAAAACAGGTCAGAGTCCAGTGATATGATACGTTTCATGGTCTGCGGCAGCACATGATGAATGGCAGTGGATACAAAGAAAAGAGGGTGATTGAAGTATGAATTAGTGCCACTACTGAAGAGATTCTGTGAATTAAAATTTAAAAGAAGGTTTCATTAATTCTTACATTTCCATCATAATTGATGTTTTATACTCTTATGTTTTTGTTGTAAGGCTGAATGGATTGACATGAGCCAATCTGGACAGAGGCGTCTGGCCCTGCAATCACATGGCTTTGTTTCAAAAACTTAAAGTAAAATAGAAATGAGGAAAAACTTCACCTTTCTCCATAAATTGTCTGTTCTAAATTGGACTCAAAAAAAAAAGTTTTCATTCTAGAATCATTTTTGTGGTTATCCCAAATATGTCATCTATTGTGTCCTATTTTTAATCCTCTAACTCCCAGATCAAATTTGTAATTCTCCTCACTGTCAACTGTAAAATTCCTATAATGTTAGTTCAGAGAATTTAGTATGGGATCAACTAATTATCCCCAAATTGACATTTTTCTTTATTCTCATCACTTATCTGGTTGATATTATATTGATATTGTGAGGAGAAATTCCATCTTGGTCACCCATGAGAGCTAAAAGATTAAACAAATTCTCCTTGATAGCACTGTAAAAATTCTGTAGAAAACAGTATCAGAGGAAATGTATACATACCTGAATTTCTTTAGTGATTGGTTTGAGCTCACTAGATACATTGTCAACATCATAATAACTCACATTCAGGCTGTGCTTACACACTTTACCAGCCTGATTGAATGTATCCTCACAGGTAAGTTTTCCAACTTTGTCTGTTATAATATGAAAAGCCAAATTTATGCTGGAGTGTTCACAGATAGACAACACACATCGTTTGAACCTTTTAGCTAAAGAGCTTGTCTGGGAAACTTTGGCAAGGATCATCATAATGTTGTTCTCCTCTTGCTGTGAAATAACAGGAGTTACTCCTTTCTTTTCATTCTTTTTCTTCTTCCTAACAGTTTGATTTCCATCGAGGTTGTCACTGTGGTTTTCTTGGGAAACTTTTTCAGGCCCTTTATGGTTAGGAACAAGAGACTTCTCTTCCATCAATGATGTCTTCTTAATTAACTCTTCATCACTTGCTTCGCTTTCGAACGGTGAGTGTTGAGCTTTATTCTTATGTTGCATGTCTTTCTTCAGTGCTTTATTTTGCATTTTCCTGTGATCTAAATCATTTTCGGCTGTCTCAACCTCTGCCTCTTTCAACCTCACTTTATATTCTGCATCAGATACCACCTTGCTGTCGTCTTTAACTCCTCCTTTGATCTTTTTCGTTAAATTATCTTCTTTCTTTTTGAGTTTACTAAAGCTCAAATCTACCATAGAAGGTGGATTTTTGTCATCGTCCATCGAAGGTAAACTTTGCTGCAGTTTTTTTGCGTTTTCACGCTGCACTTGATTCTGCTTCCAGCCAATATTCTTGGGAACATGTTGGATTAGGCTTCCTGCCACAAGATTTAGTTCCTGGGCATTTTGCTGCTCTGGAACTGAAGAGTAGAGAAACCTGCTAGCGATCACAAGAAGCAAAAGAAGTCCTATCACAAGAATTCGGGCAGGATGCCTCATACAATATCTAAATAAACTTGCCCCGACCGCCATGTTGTTTTCACTAGATAACTATTTTTACCTCCTCGGGGGTAGGCACGGTTGTGAATGTCGAACCTAATTGTTGATAAGAATCATTACAAAAACAGAAATTCCCGAATTTTTGTGCCGAATCGAAGTTTTAGCTACGAAATATGTTTATAGGGCTCAATAAAATAACAACAGTACATTATAATTAAAAATATATATTTCCAAATAAGTTTCTTTTTTAAGTGAGTTTTCGGCATTTCACTCTACCCCTCCCCACTGAGAAGTATTTACAAAGGAACAGTCGCACAGCTATGGTCAGCGGATCAGTAGCTTAATCAAAATGGCGGCCAAGATCGCCATCTCGTGCAAGCAACTTCGGCCTGTAAAATTTCCTTTGCGATCGCTAGTGTTACGAACATTCTACAGCAGTAAATCATTGGAAAATATGGGGAAAATTACATCGTTTTCTAATCCTGAAGTTCAGTCACTATTAAAGAAACTCACAGGTCGTAATTTGGATAAAATATACGCCATGCGCAAAGGAGAATTTGAAGTTCCATCGTACAAACTAATGACAGATGCAGAGTACTTAGAGGTAATTTTTCTTTTGTTTGTTTCTCTCAGATCTATTTTATAAGTGGTCTAAAAGAGCAGATCACGTATATACGAGCAGACACGCGCATATGTATGAAAATTTAGAGTTCATAATTGTTTTTGTTTATACTAGGTACAACATAGAAATGAAGAAGAAGCCGAAGCTATGCTTGAAATGCCACCAGTGATGGAAGAGAGACAAGAGATCGATGAAATTATTGAAGAAAAAGAAGAGCTGGCGCAGTTTTCAGAGTCAAATTACGTTTTTACAGATATCAGCACAAGTGAATCTGATAGGGTAGTTCAAAGTCTTCTTTCTTCTAAAATAAGTTTTTCTGTTTTTTTTTTTTTTTTTTTTTTTACAAAAGTAGCGTTACTCTAGAGAAATATATTGCCTATCAAAAGATGAAAATAATTGGATGCTGGAATTTGCTGTGGGAAGCTCTTCCGAGGTCCAATAAATGTTCCATTCCCCATTCCCTTTCCCCTGAGTTCATAATTTGCAAGGAAATGTGTAGCAGTTAGGGGGAAGACTTAAGTATCAGAGCTTGGGAGCTTAAGGGTTAATGAGGATGGAACTAAGCTTAAGTTTACTTGATCGTGTTGTTTGGTCATAGTTTTTTGTTATTTTAATCTTCTAATTCCTCTTCCTTAAATTAAAACATAGTATTACATAACATAAATGGCCTTGTGGTGTGCTTTTTTTTTACTTCTCATATTTATATTTTGATTTTTTTCAGACCAGGTCAATAACAGTGAGAGAACCAAGTGGCAGATTACGAAAAGCATCCTGGGAAGAAAGAGATAGATTGAATTTTATATATTTCCCTAAGCCTGGAAGACAGTATGAAATGCCAGAACTCCTCACTGATGAAGGAATGCTGGTAATGTAAACTGTTCTGTTGTTTTACTTTTATCATTTATTACAATTCTCACTCACAGTTAAGATCAAATTTGTAATTCTCCTCACTGTCAACTATACAATTCTTATAATGTTAGTTTAGAGAATTTAGTGTTGGATCAAGTAATTATCCCCAAATTGATGTTTTCCTTTATTCTCATCACTTATCTGCTTGATATTGTATTGATATTGTAAGGAGAAATTATGTCTTGGTTGCTCTTGGGAGTTAAAGGGTTAATCAATTTAGAGCACTGTATTTCACTGCAAGGCTCACTTAATTCAAAAGTTTGTTTGAATTGAAATTTCTCCCTCTATTTGAAGCCAGAGATATACTCAATATCTTACTGCTAGAGTTCATAGGAGTCCTGGAAAACCTGGGATTTTATTTCAACATTTTCCAGGACTTTCCAGTCCTGGAAAAATACTACAGGCCCTGGAAAGTCCTGGAAATCTGCTTAACTCGAACAATAAAGTTTTCAGAATTTATGTTATAAGAAATGTATGTAGACTGTAAGGAGAATTGATTTTGAAATCTTGGGAATAAAAGGGTTTAACCCTTTAACTCCGATCGGATTGTTAATTCTCCCTTCTACCTACTACACATTTCCTTGTAAATTAGTTATGAGGATTTGATGTGAGATCAATATAACAACTACTAAATGATCAGTATAATGAATATTCTCATTACCTGTTTGTTGGGTGACATAAGGATAATATGGGAAGAAGTTTCATTTTGATCACTTCTGGAAGTTAAAAGGTTAAGGTGAAATTTGGAACCCTGGAAGAGTCCTTGAAATTTTTTTCTGAAAAAGGGTACAAACTCTATCCTTCCATTCTTTCCAAAGTCTTTACCTTAAGTTGCAGAACCTTGTTTTTTCCGTTTGTACCTTAGTAGAGAAAAACTTGGTCAGTAACTTACAGTAGTAGTATTGACCTTGAACTTGGTTAGTTTTCAAATTTGTTTTGATGGTTTTATAAACATTGAATAACAATTTAATAGGGGTTTATCGTTTGTCTCACGATATAGAGTCAGACTATCAATATGAATTTATAGCAACATTTCACCTGCTATACTGTTAGTCTTCATCAGTTGGCAAGGTTGAAAATTTTGTGTCACTATATGTAGCACATGTGTTTGTTGTCATTGGTGCGTTATGGTACACTTTCATTGGTGTGGTTTGATCCTCATTATAATTCCGACTAGCAGCATGTTCTCTAACATTTAATAACTTTCCTCTTATTTACTCAGAGTTGGGTGATTACTGAGAAAGGCATTTAAAATGAATTTAAGGAGCTCACCTTTGCTACTACTTTCTTTTGGAATCTTGGTGGAACTTTTAGTGATTATATCATTTCTTCTAAATCATGTCAAATGCCATAAGCTTTGAGCAAGTATTCAACCTGGTTTCTTATAGCTCAAGGATAAACTAAATATGCAGAATTTTTTAATAAGTTATGAAAATCTTTTCCTTAAATTCTAAGAAGTCTTTGAACTCTTTCAGGTTGTGTTTCAGCAAAACAGACATGAAGATGTTCTAGATCTGGCTTGTGTTCAGTTTGAACCAGACTCAGCAGATTACATCAGAGTATGTGGCAGTTAGATGTCAATAGTAATTTCTATCCTGTAAATAAATAACTCTGTTCTCCTCTAAAACCATTTGGTCCAACATATACCATGTATATTTTATGTGGGAGAGACTAATAATTATCCTGTCAATCATCTTGTTAGTTTAAAACTTCTATTAAATATCAGAAATTTAGCAAGCACTCGATGCTTTTATTTTGATGTTTATAAAACACTTTGCACCAGAGTGTTTTTGTTTGCTGATGGGTGAGTCAAAATTTTGGAGAAGCCCAGAAAGCAAACACAATGTGTAATAAATTTCTCTAACCCATCTTTTCTTAAAAAGTAGCTCCATTTAAAGTAGACCATTTTAATAACTAAGTTTCATAGAAAATAGAAGATGGATGCTTAGTACTAAGTTTTACTCAGAAATCAAGATAAAAGATTAAAATCACTGAATTTTTTGCACATGCATGAACAAACTTGTGGATGGCATTTTAAACTGAATGTACATATATGTCCAGTATATGAAGTGATCTCATCTTATCTGGAATTTGTGAATAAGAATTTGACTAAGAAACATTTGGAGACAAGGGCTTTATTCAAAAAAAGTTTTAGATTTTCGATCATTTAGGTCCATAGGTTTTCCTCTGTTTTCAGTTTTGATAATTTGTGATTGTATAAACTGGGAATGGGATTTTTTAATTTCTGTTTTTATTTTGTGCAGGTTCATCACAGGACATATGAAGACCTACTTACACATAAAAAGTTTGAAATTTTAAGATCAACAAGACATTACGGAGGACTTCTATATTACTTGGCAAAACAACAAAAACTCAACGAATTGCTGGATAATATGATGGACAGGGAACAGTAAGTTTAAAATTTCTTCATTAATTAGACAAATAAAAATAAAAAAGTCTTATCTTCTAGAGTTTTTGTTTTATTTTTGATGCTGTGTTATGCTATTATCAATTACTATCTTGGACAGCAGTAAAGTTCGCTTTCAGAATGCTTGGATGTTGTCTGGATCTCTTAAAATTTCCATGTATTTATTTCATCTTGTGCATTGATCAATTGGAAGCATCAGTACCCCCTCCCCCTGAGGAATTCCTAGGACATTTGAACTTTTGAAGATTGGTTTGTTCACCCACCCCTCCCCAGGACCAAAATTGTGTTCAAGGCACAGACAACAGTCAAAAACTCATGAGTTGCTGGGGGGATGTTGAAGCCTATTGGCATATTAGAAACAGGCAAAGGGTTAACAGATGGTGGATTTTGATATACTTTGAAATATACTTTCTTTTAAAAATAAGTTCTCAGTTCATCCCCTAAGATCTGAGTAATTTGCAATTCAACCTTGCAGCTGCTACTTAATTGATTTTTTAATTCATTAAGAGAATTTCCAAAATCAAGAAGATGCTTGCCAAGTGATAAGGTCACCATTTCTGATCATCTCATTGTTAGATAATGTAGTGTAACTTCCATGAGTGACCAAGACAGAATTTCTCCTTACAACATCAATACAACATCAAGCAGAAAGATGATGAGAATAAAGAAAAATATCAATTAGGGAATTATCAGTTGATCCAATACCAAATTCTCCAAACTATCATCATATGAATTGAATGTCAGACAGTAAAGAGAATTGCTAAAATGATTGTGGGAGTGAAAAGGGTTAAAGATAAGTAACATGTTAATTGGTTATGATATGTTTACAGGTGGGATGACTGTATTGACGTGGTGAGACTTCACCTACTTTGTCATCCGGGAAGCGAGATAACACGTCGAATTGGAAAGAACAACTTAAAAGGCTTCTCTATGCTTCGGGTTAGTGTTACATATGTATTGTGAATACCCACACAGTCCAAATGTTTTCCTTGACATTAAAGAAGAGAAGAGACAAAGGTATGGAAGATCAGGGTATTTGATGGATTACCAGTTGTTCTGTACACACAGCAGTGTCACACTCAAACCTGCACTTGCAGTTTTTGTTAAAAAAATTCAAAAGTATAAAAAATAGAATGTTTGATTGAAAATATCACACTTACCTTGCACAAGGCAATAATTTAGTTATTGCTAAGGTCACAAGTATACACAAAAGAACTCTGTTTTCATCTTACTTGCTTGACTAACTACACAATAATCAACTTTTAACCCCTAAGAGTGACCGGCATCTAATTTCTCCTCACAAGATTACCCCTGAAGAGAACATTAAGGTTATGAGAATAAGGAAAATGATCCACAACTAAATAAGCCCTTGATTGTTAAACAAATTCTCCTTTCAGAACCCTAAATAATGTACAGAGAAAGTATGAAGAATATGCATACTGATGTTAGGGTGTATAGGGTTAATGTCAAGAGGGAGATAGCAGACAAAGGTATAGGGGTAATTGAGCATGATGTTGGAAGCATGCTTCTCCTTATCCCCATGTCTTGCCCCAACTTTCCCAACTTGTTGGAGCGGCCAACTAGGAATTTTTCTTTACTATATCCAAGCTAAAAGGTAACAAGAAGGCAAAATATTGACAAAGGAATATTGTTTGATTTAACATCAAATTCTCAGAATGTGAATCACAAGCAACATATGGGGGACAGTACAGATTGTTGATATTAAGATCTTGGAGTGAAAGTGTGAACCCTTTACATCCTATCATCAGTATAGATATTCTCCTCACTGTACTTTAAGCATTTGCTATGACAAGGATAATTTGTTTGACAATCAGGAGCTTCTTAATTTGGTGGTTAAAGGGTTAACCCATTACACCCTAACATCAATACTTATATTATATTTTCTTAAGTGCTGACAAGGAGAATTCATTCAACAGTCAAGAACTTTAGTTGGTGATCATTTCCTTTATTCTTGTGACCTGAATGTTTGATTCAGGGGTGTGTTGTAAGGAGAAACAGGATGTGTCTCTTTTTGGGGTGAAAGGATTAAATTTTCCTCAGATTTTTTATAACAACTTCACTGTTCAAGAATGCAAAGTTCTATTTTGTCATCCCTGATTTTCAGGCCTTCCTCAGACATTGTGGGACACAAGGTACATTGAAGAAGTTAGAAGACCACATGGCACATCCTACTGAGGAGCAAAATGTGGGGACATCATCAACCTCTGTAAATTAAAGGCAATGCCTTAAAGAGAAAAATTAAAATACATTGTCTTGTTTTTTGGTGTTTGGAATCATTGTACTTTTGTAGTTTATTTAGATGGCAAGCAGAAGCCAAATTTGATTCTCATGTGAGTGAAGTTTAATGTTACTTGGTTTGTGCATTCACGTCAAGGTCCAAGAGTTAATTAATCACGACAAAATTGTTTGATTGGTGTGGCTCTACTTAATTCTTTACACCCCAATATCAGTATGCATATTCTTCAAACAGTTCTGTAGACATTTCCCTAAGTGCTCACAATGTGTAACAATCAAGAGCTTCCTTTGTCAGTGATCGTTTCCTTTATTTTCATGAACTTAATGTGCAATTCCAGGGTGATATAGAGAACATTTGGAAGAATCACCAACTGAAGAATTTCAATTGCTTAGTAAATTCTCCCAGTTGGCACTCAGGGAAATGTATAGAGAATAGTATGGAGAATATGCACACTGATGTTGGGGTGTAAAGGGTTAAGGTAAATGTTTCCCACCTTTCCCATCTCCCCTCTTAACCCTTTAACTCCCATAAGTGACCAAGATAGAATTTCTCTTTACAATATTAAAAGTGTGTCAAAGAGAACAGTGATGAGAATTGAGTAAAATGTCAGTGAGGGGATTATAAGTTGATCCAATACCAAATTCTTCAAACTAACATCACAAGAACTGTATGTCGGACAGTAAGGAGAATTATTGAGATCTTGGGAGTTAAAGGGTTAATTAACCCTCTAACTCCCATGAGTGACAAAAACAGAATTTTTCTTTACATTATCAATGCAAAATCAAGAAGACAAGTCATAGGACCAATGAAAAATATCAGTTTGGGGATTATTAGTGATCCAATACCAAATACTCCAAACTAACATCATGAGAATTGTATAACAGACAGTGAAGAGAATTGCTAACGAGATCTTGGGAGTGAGAGGGTTAACACAAGCTGGGTACAAAATAACTGTTCAATCCACACATTCAGCACAGCAAAGAGAAGAGACACAACTGACCTTGCATTGTGATTTAATACTTAACTGGGAAGTAACTTATGACATATCTCCTCTCTTCAGTAAAAGCTTTACTCTTCCTTTATTAATTAATAGTAACTATAATAATCACAAAGCCCTTTTAAGAGACTGTTGTCATAGAAAAACCCACAATCAGAATAAACAGGCTGGTGGGATGAAGTCCAAATTACTTATTTTGAACAAGGAAGTGCATTCAACCTGTGATTTCAACCACACAAATTGTGATAATTATTCACCAAGATAATTCAACAGGTCGGCTAGAGTGCAAAAGGTCTTTCACAATAGTGGGCCTGATTAACCATCTTTTATTTGCACACAAAGCAGTCGTCATGGTCTTGCTTTTGCATGGAAACTCTACTGTCTTTAAACTTGTAGTCAAGGACAGAACAACTAGTTCACATCAGTAGAACCAATACACCATTCTACAGTTGCCTGCTTTGTTGCCAAGCCTTTTAACAGGAGTGAGGCTAAGGTTGACCTTGTTATGATGCAAATGTTGCTGCTTTTTATATATTAATTACTTGGTTATCATGCTAACCAGATACTGGTCTCTATCATGACATGGTCACCTTCAGTCTCACTCTAAATCAAAGGCTTGGCAATTAGGTACAAAACAGATAAATGGCTTATTCTGCAAGAGGTCTAAGTTCCCTCTAAAATTTAGATTGGAAAAAAATTTGCTAGTATCTTAACTACCAGTTACATTCAAGGTTCAGTTGCACTCCTGAAACCTGAATTTTGGTAGAAATTACTCACAATAAACATCTTCCACTATTTGATACATTTCTTGGAAAATTAGATTAAATGTTCAAAGTGCAGGATAAATTTATCTTCTGTTACAAAAGAAGAATAAATAAATCAATCAAATTGTGCTTTTGGATAAACTAATAAACTTAACTCTAAAAAGTGATTTTGATAATAAAGTTTTCATCTAATTGATATAACACACATAATTCCAAAATTAAATAATTGCATTAAATATTAATGCAAGGTGTCTCCATGCAGGTTAAGTTGAAACTCATTGAGATCAATAGCTGGTATAACTAGACTCCTTACTTGTAATTCAGAAGACATATCCCTTCCCCACCATCAAATGTTTTGGTTTGAGTTCCCAAGCTTCTAACTAGACCCAAAATATACTTTGGTCTAGATTCTATCTTCTTTGCTTTTGGGGCTCTTAACCATTGAAAAATACCTCTAGGCATAGTACTCACAATAAACACATGAGGGGCTGAGCACACAAGAAACCTGTGTTTTTGCTCAGACTTGTGAAATGTTTTGAATGTGAGCTAGCATTACTTTAAAACCATTGCTTTGCTTTTCATTTTCAAGCATATGCAGAAATGTCCTCTTTCCCAGAAGAATTCTTTGCAATTCTTTTCCTGCTTCAAAAAGCCTTTGATGTTTAACCCTATAACTTCAAATATCTCCATGAAAGCTATTGTTACCATCTCGTACATTTCTTATCAGGTTTGTTTTGAGAATTTGCTGCTGAGTCAATTCTCACCACTTGGCTGCTTGATTTTGTATTGATAATGTACAGAGAAATTATTTCTTGGTCATTCAAAAGTATATAAGGGTAAAAAAAAAAAAAAAAAACTTCTGAAGCGCTGAATGTTTTCAAGGAAAAGAGATCCTTTTTGCAATGGTCATTCCTTCAAAGCAAAGTGCAAACAGTACTAGGCAGTCTATATTCATTAGGAGGTGATCACTAAAAAGAGGTATGCTTATGAAGGTCTTTCATTATTACGAGCACAGCAATTGCAGCTTTTAACCTAACACATGATAACATACATTTAGTCCCACTTTACCTCAGTCAGATCTAACTGACTTGTTTCAAAACATTAATTAGAAACACACCAAATTCTGAACACCAGAAACCTTTCTGAAATGTCACGGAAAACAAAACAGCCACGCTTGAGAACTCTCAAATGAATGCAGCAGCCCTGAAAAGGCTGTGATTTTCACCTTGTTTGCATGTCCTGATCTCCCATGTAATCGATCACAACAAAATTTCCAGAAAAGTTTGAGGTATTCACAGCATGAGTTCATTAGTAACTATTAACTTAACAAAGCATTTAAGTAATGTCATAATGTAATACATATATTGAGATTGCCCAAATTCAAGCAGAGAAAGTAAACAAGTGGGTTCATAGGAAGAAAAAACAGGAGTACTTATAACAATAACATAACCTGCACTAATGATACATTTCATTGGTGTGACAAATTTAGACACCATTATTAAATGCCTATTAACCCTATAACTCCCAAGATCTAATTGTTAATTCTCCCCTCTAGCTACTACACATTTCCTTGTAAATAAGTTATAAGAACTTGGTGCTCGATCAAGATAGCTGCTTCTACCAGATACTGGTAAGTTAGAATATTCTCATTACATGTTTGCTCAATAATGTATGGATGTTATAGAGAGAAGTTTCATGTTAATAACTTCTGGGAGTTAAAGGGTTAATTAACATATAACTGGTGATTCAAAAGTATTTTAAGGTGTGACTCTGAGAACAATCTCATCTCTCAAAGATCTACACTTATTTCAATGTTATTTGGCATCTGATTGCAGCATTATCCCCCCCCCAACCAACACACACAACCAACCCTAACCCCCCCCCCAACCAACACACACAACCACAAAACAAAAACAACAACAGTAACATTAATTGATACTGATGACAGCAATGATGATGATGATGATAATGATGAGAAAGCAACTGTGACCACAGTAATACTAATGATGATGATGATGAAAGTAATATACAAATAGCCTCATAAATCTAATTAATAATTCTTCATTCATTCATTTGAATGTACACTTCATTTCACCTAAGCGATGCAAATCATCGTTGCACTGTCTAAGAAAATCAGGGAAAAAAATCAGGAGAAAATCAGCATCAATCTAATTACAAACTAGGCCACTTTGGCCATGAACTGGAATATTCAAGTTTCAAAAATATACTCTCATTCTCAACAAAGTAGTGTGCAGAATTACCTATTGAATGAACAATTTGCAAAATCATCCAGATTAAAAATATTTAAAGCAGTAAACTATGCATAAGCATGTACTTTTTTTAATTCAATAATACTTATTGTTTAAAATTTGGGTTTGCCTCTTTAAAAACGGTGTTAGCATACGCGACAGCATGCGACAATATATGTTTTTTGCATACAAAAATACATCCATACAAAACAAAAATCTTGTGAAACAACCTTTTTTTTAACAATTTCCCTTTTTAAAAAAGGTAGGAAGCAAAACTTTTCATGAAAAGCCAAAACACTCTGTTTATAAAAAACGCTCGTAAGAAAATAAAAAGTAAAGAACTCTTAAAGGACAATGAAATTAATTATTGCTTCTTAGAAAATAAATTTTAAGCTTATAAAAAGCATAACAAACAGTTACCAAACATAAAAAAATATGCTATTCCCTTTCCAAGGCAAGCATTGCATATATCAATCTAATTATGCAGTGATTGCAAATGCCACTAATAGCAAAAAAACATGCTCATGACATTTCCAGGCCAATTATCAAGTGAATGAGAGTAATGTTTGATTGTAATCTAAAATTTGCTTCACTCTCACAACCAATCAGATGTAAAACTACAGCTAGTTGTGATATGGACACTCCTCTTGTTGCAAGCTTAAGGACATTTCTAGTTTCTTCAATCTGCTTTATGTCTGATTGGTTGTTGGAACTAGCTTGGTTTTAGTGTAAAATCGCTCCATCAACTAGTGCTCTACCGGTGATTCCTTGCTACAAATAAATCTAAAAAACAAAAAATCATTTGAGCAAGTGCTGCTGTTCCCCACCTGTAGAGGTCCAGCAACTGGTGCCTTCATCTCAAAACTAAGAGTAGGGGAGAAGGCAACACTAGCTCAAACCATAGCAACGTCGCTTCCCTGGCTGGTGAGGAGAGGCCGAAGGATAGCCATGCAGTCATGCCTTTCCAGTTCCTCTAAATAACAGTACAGTTTGTAAACTGTAGCATCATCTCGCATTTGCCAATCTTTAAGAAGCTCTTGGGTGGCTTCTCTTGGTAACAGCTTCAGATTATTCGTGAAGGTAGAGTCATATTTCATTTTTCCAGCCAAATAAATATAGTTGTTTCCACTGTCTATATTGAGGTACTGTGCTAATTCTTCAGTGATGTTAGCTGGTATGGTGCTGAATTTAATGTTATTCTCTGATAAGAGAAAAGAAACAGTTTTAGACACAGAAAAAAGAAAGGATGCATCACAAATAGCTCACAGATCTGATCATTTATTCTCCCCACTAGCTGTCACACAATTCCTAGTAAAATGAGTTATGAAAATTTGGTGTTAAATGAAGGTAACTTCTAACATTACCTGTTTACTGGATAATGTATGGATATTACAGGGAAAATTTCATCTTAATCACTTCTGGGTGTTAGAGGGTTTAAATGTGTTCAAAATGTAATGCCAAATTTTCCCAATAATGCAAATTTTAAAACAGAAAATCAAAATTGCCCAGAAACAACGCCTTAGACCCCCAGATGCCAAAACAATCTGAACGCTTTCATAATCATATCACTCTAAAGAAGTATTGAAAGTATTGAGGGAGAGGAAGGAGAGGAAGGAGAGGAGAGAGAAGTGATCTTAACCCTTTAACTCCCACAAGTGACCAAGACAGAATTTCTCCTTACAATAATTACACAATATCAAGCAGACAAGTGATGAGAATAAAGAAAAATATCAGTTAGGGGAATATAAGTAAATCCAGTACCAAATTCTCCAAGAACTGTATGGCAGACAGTGAGGAGTGTTACTAATGAGATCTTGGGAGTTACAGGGTTAATTAAAACCACCCTACATTTTTAAATTCTCAACATCCCTATACATTTACATACACACATGTACCTTCAATAACAGCTGTTCCTGACATCTTAGTTACAGTCTCTGCAAGATGAAAGCAATATAATGAAATAATACTACTTTGCACAAGCCCACCTACACTGAGTTAGAATATGTCTTAACTAAAAAATTAGACGAAATACAAAATGTAGTGAGCTACAACTTAAGTCATTGCACTTTTTTAAAAGATGAGCATCCACTTTTCTGTAACAATACATAGTACAAACTGTCACTAGAGAATAGACAAAATTGGTGTGCAGTTCAAAGCTTGTTGCATCACCAGTAGGATCTTTGCCTTTCTCAAAATACATTCTTAGGCATCATATGTTTCTTGATTAATTGACAAACCTTTTGGAGCTGTTCTGCCTTCAGTTCTGTCTGGTACTGGTGTATCTTTACCCCTACACTTTCCAATCTTTTCTTTGAACAAAACACAATTGCAGATCAATGACACTAAAAGAAGCAGACCTAAAGTGACCAACAAAGCTGGATGATTTAGCTGGCTTCTAGTTTCTTTGCATTCTGGTACCTTACTTTCCTCATCAACTGTGAAAAAAAAAAAAAACCAGGAAAAAAAAGATTTTATCAAATAATTATCACTTCCACAAGCCAGGTGCTGAAAGATCAGACAATAAGGAAATACTCTGCAGGAGTGGAGCATCTCAATTTATTTCTAATTGATATTTAACTACTAGAATATTCTCCTTCTTGGCCAATGATTACAACATAGTAATATAATTATAACAATTAATAAATATTAAGAAATATCCCTCTCAAAGTTTTTCATAGCAGTGTATCTCTAATACTAACCAAGTTTGAGGTCCATACTGTAAGTTACAGACCTTCTTTTTCCCACTCAGATTCTGGCCAAGCACAAAGACCATGAATCAGAATGATAGAGTCCATACTTACAGTAGGGACTGAAAAAACAAGGTTAGCAAGATATTCATTGCATCTCTGCATTCCAATATTGGGGAAATATTTCAATTCACACAAATTTTTGTATTCAGCCAGTGGTACAGTGAAATATGGCCAGCTAAATTTACAAAACTTAATGCACTTACTAGCCGAGAGACAAATAAAAACATTTATGATACCTTTCTGTGATGTAAATGTTCTGTGAGAAGAACTCGACATTGTTGGGATGGATGGTTGTTGAGTGGATGCCTGAGATCTTTCTGAAGGAAGAGGACAAACAGGAATCTTTCCACACTGAGTGTCATTCCCAGATGTACACTTACTTAATACCACTTCTCCTCCTCCACAATAACTGCACTGAACACATAGTGATTTGTTTACAGCATCCAAATAAGTCCCCTGAAATAAAATATATTAATTCATCTGAGATGAACTCATCAGTGGAAAGAAGAGATATTACCTGAAGAAATGTTAACCCTTTCACCTGCCAGAGTGAAGAGAAGGGAATTTCTGACACAGTTTTACGCAGAACAATGATGAAAAGAAAGAAGACTACCAAATGAGAGGCACTTTTTGTTTCAGCCCCATATTTTCAGATCTAAATTGAAATTTGAAACAGATGTTACAGAAGAAAGGATTAACCCTAACAGAAAATTCTACAGGGAGAAATGTTGGCAAAGACAGACAGGGCTGGTTAGAAGTATGAAGGGAATACTATTAAAATTTGAGAAAAAGTTGGGCTCAAAACTTGATTATTCTCAGAGATGAATAGCGCAGTACCTCTCCCCAAGCAGCACTGACAATTGAAGTGGTGTGTACATCATAACACCCTTAAACATATTTGAATGATGCAAAAACAAATTCTTCTTGTGTTTGACAAAGCAATACAAAAAATTTTGGAAGGGGAATGTAACAGTTAATCAGAACTAATTGGTGCGTTTTTCCTGAGCATCCCCTCATTTCGTAGAAGGCAGAAATTATGAAAAACAAAACAATTAGATTTAAAATCAAGATTGTGACCTAATACCAAATTCTCAAGCCTAAAAAAAAAGAAATTTGAGGAAGGAAGGAAGGAACCTGTTTCTCAAAATTTCCCCCAACTTCACCCTTAAACTCTCATGAGTGACCTAGCCATAATTTCTCCTTACACTATAAATACAATGTCAAGCAGGCAAGAATGAGAATAAAGAAAAGTATCAATTAAAAGATTGTTAATTGATCCAAAACCAAATTCTCAGGTAACATCATACAAATTGTACAGCTGACAGTGAGGAGAATTACTAGTGAGATCTTGGGAGTGAAAGGGTTAACTGGCTCAAAAACATGTTTCAAAATCGAAATCCAGGGGTCTAAATAACCTTTTCCTTAAGTGAATCAGCTGCTGTACCTACAAGAGGGAAAGTAAGGCAAAAGCCAAGCATAAGAGCCTGTTTGCTGGCTAAACAGACAGCTATAACAGGCCTTATAAACCACACTGAACTGCAGGGAAACTGGCTGCTAAATGTAAGGGATAGTATTGTGGGTCATAGCTCAAAACCAGTCTATTTTATCACACTTTCTGATATTTCCATTGCTTGAATGTCAAAACCATTAATTTCTCCATCTTTAACAAAAACACACAAAAATCAAAATTGAGCTCTTCAGGACTAGTGACTACCAAGGGTTTTGAGAAACAGGCCCCAGGTTAGGAACAGCAGTCTACCATACCTCTAGACACTTCTCACAAGAAGCATCTTTAACCTCTTGGCAAGGAGAGATCAGTTTTTCACCCTCACTGCATTTGGTGCAATCCCGACACATAAATATACTGCCATCCCAGAATTGGTCTGGTGGGCACTTAGATCCAAGGGCCAATTCTCCAGCAAACTGCAAAAGATTTGACATTATAATGAACTTTACTTCACTTTTACCATGAGTCAAACTGACTATGTTATATGAATATGTAAAGCAAGAAACTTATACTTGTCACTTGCCTACTCAGTAAAAGCCAAGATTTGAGATGTTTTATTTTTCTTGTTTTATGGGCTTCAAATGATTACAGATTTGCATACTTTTAATAAACATTAAGACCCTACTATCCACAGAAAAAGCTTTTTGAATGAAATTCTCTCTGCCTTGCACTGTGTGTTTGAATATGTGGTAGATTGTTGTAAACAGAAGTTGTTTTGTGAACCATGCAAGAGAGTTTATAATATTAACTAGAAGTTAAACAATCTCGAAAAACTTCATCAGACCAAATAATTAAAATCAAAACAACTGAGAGCTTGCTAAGTATAGGTGCATCATATTCTGTCTATTCAATAGTTACTATGGGTAACTTTCTGAATAAAACAAAGCTGGGAGTTTCAGGATACTTTAATTTCCTGTTGACATTTAGTTTGGTGATTTGTTGTCAAAATATTATGAAAATTTGCTTGAATAGAACTTTCTCCAACCATCCTTTGATAGTCTCAAACAATGCCAGCTGTTGGGATGAGAGGGAAAATTATGATTTCATTTCATTTCTTTACCACAGAATTAAATATTTTTATGCCACTTCAACTAAGAACCGTTACAGCTTCCACAAAAAAAAAATGCATGAAAACGGTTAAGAAATATGCATAATGATTAGGAAGGCAAGTTTATTAAAAGAACAGAAGGCTAATTTAAGCTATTTGGAAGAACTTTTGAATTAAGTTTCAGTAACTGTTGACCCAAGTAACTGCTGCGAAGAAACAGCGTATGAAAGAGGCACCCCTACTTCAACGACAGGTGTGGAATATTAGGGAGAGAAATTTTTAAAATTCCGCTCAAATTTATGATAATGTTAGCAACTACAAGGAAAAATTCCGCATATGTAAACAAAATTATTACTCATCTGTGACAGATCGTTGTACAATTTCCGACGATGCGATTTCACCTTAAAAATCCACAAATCTCGCACACAAGAAAGCAACAGAAATCGTTAACCACGAGGTGAACTGAATCGCTAAGAATTAAATTTACGACTCTTTAATTAAGGTGAAGAGCGGATTATGAATTTTTGCGACAGGAGTTGTTAAACTTCAAGCCAAAACAACTCTACTCGATTTGATGAGAAGTGTAATTGACAGCTGTTAGTGTAATACAACATTGAACAACTTTCTTTCTTCAGAATATTGCGAATAAATGATCGTGCAGCTCCTTAAATTGTGCATGGGACATGCCAGAGCATGTTTTTAATGTTAACTGATGATCCGAAGCGCGGTCAAAAGAGCATTTGAAGGAACGTGCTTCCTTCAGCATAAATTTTATGATGCGATATGCACATTCCAACAGCTTCTCAAAAGCTTCCGAAATGAACGAAAAAAGATAAGATTGTTCATTATAACTGGTACAGAAAACAAATACAGTTAGAGAATGAGTTCGGCGTTCCTAAATTAGTGGGTGTGCAAGCTGAGTTTGATTGCACTGGACCATGTGAGGATCACAAATCACGTAATATCAATCTGCACTCAAACTATTTAAAACTTCACAATGCAGCAAAAAGTGATAAAATAATGTATCTGAAACGCAAAAGAGGTGTACTTACCGAGAGAATATGGAGAAACACATAAAGTTTCATAGCGATCGCATCTTCGGGAATCGGGAGACCAAGAAAGTGAGCACAGGGGAACCCTGGTTAAGAAAAGATGGTGATGTAATCCCCTTTGCAAAACGTGTTATGATTGGTTATACATTTCACCAACCAATAAAAAACGCACGTTATATCACGACAAGCCCTGACTTGCCTGGGCCTGTTGATTAGTGCCCAAGTCCTTCACATTAAGCTCAAGATCTTGCAGAACTAAGCCATCGCGTTCCTAAACTTTTTTTTCACTCAAAGGTGAAGTTTTCTTGTACCCTGGTCTCAGATAATTTTTTCCTAAATCATTTTCGTTTCTTAAAAGGTGAAATAATGAGCAGCATTTCTTTAGTTATCATCAAAAACAGACAATTACTTTAACCCTTTACACCCTAACATCAGCATGCATATTCTCCTTACTGTTCTCTATACATTTCCCTAGGTGCTGAAAAGGAGAATTTATTAAAAAAACAAGTAACTTTTGTTGGAGACCTTGTACTTTATATTCATGATCTTAATGTGTGATTCAGAGGTGATATTAAATGATAGTCATTCTCAGGGATGAAAGGATTTAATTTTATTTTTTTTCCCATCAAACATTAGTCAGTCACTATGTACACACAACAGGCTGTTACATATTTGCTACTCCACTGAATAAATTAAACTGAATTTTCTGTTAACCAATAAATTAAGGGTATTTCTGTTGGTATTTACAAAATTTAATGCAAAAAGAATATTTCAGAGAGACTCAAACAATATCCTACACTTGGTCCCGAAAAAAAAAAGCATACAGACAAAACAATTTATAAACAACAGCCTCCAATCGGTGCTAATATATCAACAGATATTTGTCAGTAGACATGATCTGTTCTAAAATGCAAACAGTTTCCTGTGAGCAAAGCCAAAAAAAAATTACAAACTTCAATGAACAGATAACTTCCAACAACAAATACAAGTGCAAAATTTTTGCTCCAAATGATGGCTTCTGTGTTTATTACCCATCAAATATTTTTGCAATGCACTAGAAAAATGTTTACAAACAGCTTACTGTTTGTTGCATGTTACTTTTTCTTCTCTGTGTTCTCTGGCATGACTTAATGAACAACCAGGCATGTCCTTTCTACTTTAATAACAGCTAAACAATCTTCTATATTGATTGAATTCTGTATGAAGACCTTTATCATATTGGACATAAAGTTTGAAAATTGGTAAATATCACTTGGGATATATCACCAGATATTCCCCAGTTTTAGCTGAGGCATATTTGATCACATGATGCTTTTAGACCAAAAAAAATTAGCAAAAATATTTGATGGATTATAAGCTTCAATAATATCTCTACACACATTGTCTAATCTGAAAAGCAAACACTTTTCTGAAAGAATGAACAGATTATTACTGTCCTCCAACAAATAACATGCATTTTTGCAGCCACATGAAGCATGGGAAGTAATCAGGCACAAACAGAAAAAATTGTTTGATGGAATAAATAACATGATTATATATAAAATTTCATAGTCTTGTCACGAGCATGGTACAACAAAAACATCTCTCTCTATTCCTTTACCAGCTCAAAACTTACCATCTCTCACATTCTATTTACAAAGCATAAATATTCAGTTCTTGTTTTGTCCCCCTATACAAAGAACACAAAGTGCACTACTTTACCCTTAACCTCAAGATCTCATAAGTAGTTCTCCTTACTGTCTGCCTTACCGTTCTTAAAATAATGGTTTAGAGAATTTGGTATATAATCAACTAATAATCCTGTAAGTTACATTTCCTATATTCTCATCACTTGTCTGCTTAATATTGTAGTGATATTAGGAGGAGAAATTCTGTGTTGGTCTGTCATGGGAGTCATAGGCTAAATACTGACTCGTAATTCCTTGAAAATTGTAAGAATAATGATTAGTCTGAATGATACTTAGAGCTCATAATAAATGATAATTTCTCCTCAGAAATTCTGAAATTTTGAGCCTAGTAGACTGAACCACAGATGGCATAGCCATAATTTGATTTTGTAAGAATTTCATAACTTATAAAATCAAATAAATATCACTCAAACCAATTATCAACAGCATTTGACCTCAATTGCTTCTGCACAAAAAGAGATCTTACCAACACGAAAATACAACACCAACTTGTCACAAATATAATATTATAAATATAATATTTGATTTAGTACTACTAAATAACTTAAGACACTATAGCCCTGTGATCAATTTGAAGCTTCAACATCCCCCCACAAGCATTTGACCAAAGTTTGTGCTCAGGGGTGAGGAATTTGAACCTAGGAGGGTTGGAAATTTGAACAGCAAGTGTCAACTCATTCCAGCAGAGTACAAGTGTTATATCTGTAAATATGGAGGTGTTTGAGGCATTTGCAAGTGAATGGCTCAGAATGAAAGGTCTACAAAGTCTAGGATTAAAAGCTTAGTCAAGGTGTAAAAAGTCATCTTTGCTGAATTTGCCTTTTACAACAAATTTGGGTAGGGCATTTGAACATAATCTTTGCTGTGGGGGGGGGGGGGGAATTTGAACAAACCAATATGCAAAAGTTCAAATGCCAGGAGGGATGCCCAGGGAGTGGGTTGCCTAGGGGGATGTGAAGCTTCGAATTGATTGACACATTATCTTAAAAGAGTTTTTTTCTTAATGAATTTAAATAAATCTACACAATACAAAGTTATCTGGCAGCTGAAGACAATGACTGTTGCCACTTCCATTTTGCCAATCCCAATGATTGATCAATTGTCATGATTGATCAGTTGCAGAAGGAGATATTTTAGACTTCTGCAGTAATATTTCACACTTTCCTGCCTTTCAAGTTAGTCCAATTAAGAAAGCAATGCTTCTTCCCCTTGGCTGACATTCATTTACAATTTGCATTTGTAAATCTTGATAAAATTTCATGAACAGTACATGATGGTACTTGCCTTCCTACTCATGTGGTGTGTAGACCTGTATCATGCCTTCTTTGCCACTGTGCTTCTGTCATTTTCCCACATAAGCACCTTTTATCCAAAATATGGTAATTTCAAAAGGTTGTATTGCGAGCCAGTACTTTATAAAATGCACTTAGTTATGCTCATATGTCTTCCAGGTGAAGAACTGTTCTTGAATTTATACCAGCTTGTGTCAGACTGACATCAAAGTTATTAAAAACCTGTCGTGGTACCTCATTGGTAAAGAACTGGCAAAGAGGGAGTCTGTCTTTACTACAAGACTGAGCAAAGGCCAGCACTGTGCCAAGTGTCTCAGTGTTTCTGAACCATCTTTCATGACGTGATCCATCTAATAATTTTATAGCCAGATGAATTCTTCCAGGTTCTGAATCATCTGGTTCATTGGGAAGTGAATTTTCTAATAAAAGAGTAGCTGTCTTCTGTAGCAAAACACTATCATCCCTATTATCAAATGTCTTTTCCAGAACAAGTTGTGATTTGTTTGAGTCTGACTCAACTTTCTGACCTGAACCAATTGATGGAAGTGGCTTGTACTTTGAAAATGATGATTGTGATCTCAGTGGTGTCGGGAAAGATGCTTGCTCTCCAACAACCTGAAAGTTCTCTCTTGAAGCTATACTCTCCTTTTTGAGTCCAGATCTGGGGCGTAATCGTCCCTTAGCTGACTTAGGTCGACATTCTAATTTTTCTGAAGAGGTCCTTGAAGGAGGTCGTGGAACAAATGATGCATGACCTAATGAAAACTCATGTCCATGTGAAATGTCCTCTGAAGTATGACGACGTAACAAACTACCTCTGACATGAGGTTGACTTTGTATTATATTAGTTCTGTGTTGGGCTGCCTGTGTCTTATCATTTGTATACGCCGGTAAGGGACTGTCTACAGATCTGCTACTGGGAGGTCTGTTACCAGCACGTGATTGAGGCCGGCTTCCATACTTCCCTAAAAAAAAGAAATAAAAATTTCCAGCTACTACGTGTGCTTACCTTTTGCATTCCCTTAGAGCTTAACCAATTCTAATTGTTTTGGAGAAAACAGCTTGATCCAAATAACACGAAGTTTATTCCAAAAAAGACAACACCATAAATTAAATATTTCCTGCATTTCAGAGAGAGAAATAGCAAAGTGGGCAGACTTAATCTCACAGAAAATCGTTTCTCTCGATCATGATTCCTCAGATCCCTGGAGCACTTTGTGTTCACTTACCTTTTCTCATGCATTTTCCCAACCTTTATTTGTTCGAATCTAAACTGAAAGCTGATATCTTGTGGTTGCTTTAAATATCTATGCATTGACTGTCACGAGTGTATTTTTCTACAGCAGTATGTCGTTAAATTTCCTATCGAATTTCCTGATTCTTGTTGATGCTTAACTGGCCTCTTGACACTGATCTCAACTGTTAGATTTTCATGATCACGTTCTATAATGTATTTCACAATCTTTTTTACCTTCGCTGAAACGTCTCACTTCAGAGGAAACTGGGATTTTAGCCATCACCGCGTAACGAATTGTCTCTTACAATTTTCTCTGCGGGATTGCTATTCAAGCAGAAGATAACAGCGCCATCTTGTTACAAACTTTGCTAAGCAACTTCCGAGCATTCCCGAAGGACTATCGACAGAAATCTCCGCTCCTCTTAATTGTTGTTTAACACAGAATTTTGATTGACCTGAGTGGTAAACATATTTTTATTGATTTCAGGGTTGAAAATCTTCTCCAGTTAATAGCAAACAACATAATTGAGCTATATTTTCATGGAAAATTGCACTTGTTATGACTCGGGAACTGCTCGATCTCGAATCGACCTAGAATCGAACGGAATTCTCGTTTCCAATCTCCTCACGCACCGGAAGCAATTTTCTGACTGATCATCGTTACATGCGAACCTCGTTTGGATAGTCGACAGAAACTTTTATCGATTCTTTAATTTCAGATTAAATTTTATGTAGCAATGGCTGATGAAGACTGGGCGGCCGAAGTAGACGAACAGGAGCGTGAAATCTCTGGCCAGGTAAGCTGTGTTTTGCACGCGGACAAGCTTCATCTCTGAGACACGTGTGGGAAAAATAGAATCGGTTTGCTGAGATCTCCGGCCTCGAAGCATGTGTTGTCACGTTTTATGATAGTTTTTGCGAACTGTGATCTGAACTAAGGTAGGGAAATGTGTGAAGTGTTAAAGGCCAAGTAATTCTGGATAATCCTTTCGTTGGTATTCTTTTTCTGTCCGTATTTCGTGGCGAACTCAGTGTGCAGCTCAGCTAACTGTTAGCTATGTACGCACAGGAAAGCAAAATTTTACTTTCCGGGAAAAAGAGAGCCATGTTTATTTGCGGAAGTAACTTAACTCGTATTCTTGGAAAATAGTTTGTGTCTAAGAAACTTTAAGGCATCTATAGTCGTAGTAAACTTACTACCTGGTGGAAAAGTTGAGGTTCTTAGCTCGGTAGAATGTATGTGCAGAGGCACCTGAATGACACAGGATTCATTCATTGACATAAAATTTACTAGAACTTAAGGTTTAACACATATTAAACTGTGTTTTCTGCGTAACAGCATGACAAACAATCCGTTTATTGTTTTCCAGTTCTTCACTACTTTTGAAACTTTTTCAGTCTGTCAAATAATACAAGTGTAGCTGTACTTGATCACTTAAAGTTATTTTTCACAATATTTGAATGGATCAGTCATTCTTCCTGCTCTTAGAGAATGAGGTAATTGTGTGATACATTATAATAAAATAAGACTGACAAGACTGCTGTTATTTTGATATCTTCACTTGTAGGTCAATAAACTCAAAATTGACAGTAATAATCCTGTACCACCTTCTGAACAAAAACCACCTCAAGATGACAATGGTATGATTCACCTTATAACATAGAGCTACATGATCCTATGATCCCAGTGTTACTCACTATTTATCAATATTCACCCTTTAACTCCCAGATTAAATTTGTAATTCTCCTTACTGTCAACCATAAAATTCTTTTAATGTTAGTTCAGAGAGTTAAGTATGGGATCAATTAGTCATCCTCAAATTGATATTTTTCTTTACTCTCATCACTTATCTGGTTGATATTGTATTGATATTGTAAGGAGAAATTTTGTCTTGGTCACTCATGGGAGTTAAAGGGTTAATTGAGATGTATAGCAATGAATATGCAGCTGATATACAAACATAAAGGAGGTAAGTTTCCAAAGAAATTATGGTGGTGTGTCACTGGGGGAGTATAACAAGATAATTTTGGTTTCATCAACTGAGTTTCTAATGTAAAATGTCTGCCATAAAGAGTTTAAAAGCTGATTTTTTGAGGAGTTAGCTCTTCATCCTTTGCTCTGACGAAGAAAAACTAAAGGGCTAATGTTCAGAACGTCAGCTTTGAAACTCTTTACCAAGGCCAATTACATTATTACTCAGTTGATAAAACCAAATTTTCTTAATGCACAGACAATGACTGACCTATGGAGCCCTCTTTTCGGAGCAAGGCAGATTTTAACCCTTTAACTCCCATAAGTGACCAAGACAGAATTTCTCCTTACAATATCAATACAATATCAAGCAAACAAGTAATGTGAATAAAGAAAAAGATCAGTTAGGGGATTATAAGGTGATCTAATACCAAATTCTGCAAACTAGCATCACAAGAACTGTATGGCAGACAGTAAGGAGAATTACTAAAGAGATCTTGGGAGTTAAAGGGTTTAAGGATTGATTTTCAATGTAGTAGTTTAAATATTGCATCAGGAGAAATTCCCCTCTTTTGTGTTCTATTGGATGCACACACATCATGAACACATACAATGAGAAAATGAAGCAATTTTGCAAAATTAACATGAGTTGCATAAAATTACTAGTTATGGTATGATATGCATGTGACATGTTGGTGAGAAAAATAAGATAACTGAAAGAATTTCACCTGACAAGAATACTTTCCAGTTTTGGTTGCATCTTGTCGCATCAATCTTTGACCAATTGCAATGAAATAGGTAGTTGGAGACCATTGCACTGGTATGCTAATGTTAATATTGACTTTTCACTTAACAGAGACTGCAGAGGCTGCGGCAGAGGCTTCCTTATTAATCAAAGTTTTGAGGAATAAACTGGTCCAGAATAAGAATGAAGTTGAAGTGCAAAGGAATGATCCAAACTCTCCACTTCACTCGGTCAAGTCATTTGATGAATTACCTCTGTATGTATGCCTTCATTTCAAGTCTTGATATGAATTTACAGAAGCTTAATCCCATGAGGACATTCTTTTATTGTTTTCTTCACTGTGAGACTCATAAAAAATCAAAAAACAGAATGTGTATGGAATTTTATTGTGTTTTAAGGAAAATGTCAGCTAGGGGTGGGAAAACTGGACCATAAATGGCAATGGTAACAATGGTTTGAGATTTTGAGATTTGTTTGCAAAACATGGTTGGTCAGATATTGATTAATATTGGTCAGAATCAAAAAAATTGAGCAAACCATTCTCTGAGTTTTTTTTAAAGCAAAAATTAACATTTATTGAAATTTGTCTCTCCAATGCAGACTGATGTTAAATTACCCTTATTGCAGTTAATATGCCACACCCTGAGTTTAGAAACTCAAATTGTGAAAAAAATGTTTTTTAAAAGAAATCCACTAAACTACTAGTGGAGTCTTGAGAAAGTTGCTTCATTTTGGTTTCTCCAACAAATGCGCACATGCACAAATTCTCCTACATTGAAAACAGGAATTCTTTGAATCCTTACCAATAATTTCAGATGAAATGATATGTACATCATATCTTTTAACTTAGACTTATGTTTGATCATATATTGATATTGTTCAACCAGTATCTTTTTCACTCCCGTCAGACTTTCAATGTGTACAATTTTTATGTAAATCAACTGGAAATTTGTTCTTTTGTTAGGTTGTTGTTAGCTTAGTGCTAAGGCATTTGATACAGACTTTGAAATTTTCTATTACTAGTTTTAACCTATTGATGGTTGAAGCATGTTTTCCAGATGTTCTCTTGGACCCTAAATTTGTTGCTTTAACTTGAATTATTTTGTGATTGTCATAACAACTTTCTTTATGATTATTAATGATACTTTTAGTTCTGATTTTGTTGGCTTGAAGATTGAGCTCTAAATGTTATGAAAAATGGTTTCCTTTAGGTCTGAACAACTGCGTAAAGGAGTTTACGCCATGGGCTTTAATAAACCATCCAAAATTCAAGAAACAGCCTTACCCATGCTCTTAGCAGACCCGTGAGTATTCACAAAACATGTTTTGAAATAGTGTTAACTTGTTGGATTTTATAATGTGCTTGTTTCTTGTTTGTGGAATATCAAAAAGACATTTAAGAAAGAAAAAAAAAGATACTTCTATATACTTAGAGAATAACACATGGGCCAGTGTAGATATCGAACTTCTTTGCAAGTGTTCAACTCTATATATTATGACTTAATGAATGGCAAATGCTCTGTCATTCCTTTATCAACCTGACAGGTCTGACAGAATGGTATGTCAGCAGCTGATGTGTCAGCAGCTAATTGGCAATATTAATTTTACACATGTGTAGTTACCACTTTTCTCAGGGCTGGCAACCCTTGTGAAACACCGCAGGTCATATGATTAAAATGAATTTATGCATGTCCTGTTCAAATGATGCCTGATTGTACTTGTAAAGTCCGCCTACAAGAGGGCATAGTAAGATTTTTCGTCATGATTCAATCAAGACTGAAGAGCTTACCCTGCCTTCTATGCCTGTTTTTATATTGCTCCCCTTGGCTGGGATACACTTATCAAGTGTAACAAATTATCCCATGAAGAAAGACTCTGTGAGAGTTAACCCTTTTACTGGGAAGATCCAATAGTTTTTCAGCACGCCACAGTAGTGTATTTCTAGCAAGGATTTGATAATTGCTTCGCATCATCTCTCTATTTTTTTCAGGCCAAGTAACATGATTGCTCAGTCACAATCAGGAACTGGAAAAACCGCTGCCTTTGTGTTGACTATGCTTAGCAGAGTTGATGCTACAAAGGCCTACACACAAGTAGATAACCACATATTTCTATCATAGCCAGCAATGCAGTTGTCTTATTAGGGGGAGTTAACGTTACAAGCTCATGATCGTTAATCCACTGGATGTCAGTCACCCCATTTATTACAGATTTCTTTCTCTCTCCAGCCTTCCACTGCTGTAAAAATCAAAACATGGCAGCAGAAATTTTCACCAAGAAAATACTGAGCTCTTGCTTGCCAAAATTACGCCTGTTCTACAGGCTATTTCTATCTTGGTGATTTTTATAAAACCATAGTAGTAATTTTCCAAATGGATGGTTAAAAGTTCTTGATTTTTCAGATGAAGGAAGATAATTATAAAATGATAAAAATTGCATTTTTTCACAGTTAAGTTTTACACATGCTGATTGAAATGTTCTTGTCAAATATGTATTTGATGTAATTAGAGGTGTGCAGTGGGTTAATAAAAATGAAGGTGAAAAAAAATAATGATTTTGATGTAGCAGTTACCATTTTCCATGGTTTCATGTTGTTTGTTTTCAGGTGGTGTGTTTATCACCAACATATGAGCTGGCATTACAAACAGGCCAAGTTGCTGAAAAAATGGGACAGTTCTGTCCAGAGATCAAAATCGGTTATGCAGTGAGAGGAGAAAGAGGTGAGAAATTTTATCAAAAAAATAAAACTGCCAGCCCTTTAGACCCTACATCAGTATGAAAATTCTCCCCACTGTTCTGTATACATTTTCTTAAGTGCTGAAAAGGAGAATTTGTTTAGCAATCAGAGGCTTCTTTAGTTGGTGATCATTTCCTTAATTCTTGTGACCTTAATGTGTGATCCAAGGTGATTTTGTTAGGAGAAATTAAATGCTCATCACTCTCAGGGGTCAAAGGGTTAATAGCCAAGAAATACTGATTTAGTGAGTTCCCTTGAAACAAAAGACGTGCAATTATTAGCAAAGCAAATTCTTGCCAAATGTAAATCTAAAAAGAGCAGCCTTTTTTACTGTTACATTAATAACAGAACCATTCTTTTTTTAACAGTTTCAAGAGGCCAGAAAGTAACAGATCACATAATATTTGGAACACCTGGCACCCTCCTTGACTGGATTTTAAGACACAAAGTTCTGGATCCAAAGAAAATCAAGATGTTTGTGTTAGATGAAGCTGATGTCATGATTGCTCTACAGGGACACCAAGATCAGTCAATTAGAATACACAAGTAAGTCTTGAGCTTCATATTTAAGGTGGATAGGTCACTGTAAAGTGAAGTTGCTTCTCTCCCCCTCCCCCTTTGGATGCAATGGTGGCATGTGAAGCATTTCACAAGGTTTCCCTGACAGTTGGGAGATGCAGTGTCAGTGCGATGGACTCGGGGTCCAGAGGTGCAGGTTTAAGACCTGGCTGCATCATTTTGTTGTGTTCATGGTCAAAATACTTTACTCTCACTGTGCCTCTTTCCAGCCTGGATTACAAATGGGTGCTGGAAAATGGTCTGGAAAGCCTGATTAAATTTTGGGGTGGGGGGTTACCTCACAATGGACTGGCATCCATAATCCTCCAAATTGTTTCATTCTAGGCAAATGAAAAAACTGCAGCTGGATGAGCCTTTGGTTTGAGTACAAACTTTACCTTATGTCCCTGATATCACTTGGTGTAAGTCTAAAGTACTGTGAGGGGAAACTGTGTTTCTTACCAGCACAACTAAGACTAGAGCTTGAACCTGAACCTCTCCATCTAGAGGTCAGCTAAGTCCAGGCTTATCAGTGTAGGCTGCAATGAGATAAGTAAAAGTTTAAGTCTGCACTCAATCCAAGTGGCCTACAAGGTACTGGAGCTTATCCCATTTTTCTTAGCATGAAGTGACCAGAAATATTGCTACTCTCCCCTGGATGAGATTTCAGTCCACAGGGTTACTGCGCAGTATTTCATCAGGCTTCCTTGACAGTTCACTTCCACCCTTTTTATACTCCTGGGTGGAGACAGGCACTTTGAGATTAACATGACCTATCCTGGAAAAAACTAAATGACTCAGCCAGGTCACAAGTCAGGAACTCTTGAGCCAGAGTCCAGCACACTAACATCTCCCCACTTGTCAATGAGATGATGTACAGTGCAGATATTGTTCCCTTACTTTCCTTATCTCAGAATATCCCCAAGAGCTTGATTAAGGTATTAAGCAATGTTCCTTTGCTTCCAAGGACTTTACCCAAAGACTGTCAAATGCTGCTTTTTTCTGCAACATATGATGATGAGGTGATGAAGTTTGCAGAGTCTGTCGTACCCAGTCCAATGGTGATTCGACTACGTCGTGAAGAGGAGAGTTTAGACAACATTAAACAGTACTATGTTGTGTGTCGGAGTCAAGAGGAGAAATTTCAGGCCCTTTCAAACATGTACGGAGTGGTGTCTATAGGACAGTGTATTGTGTTCTGTCAGGTAAGTATGGTTAACACTGCCAAACCTTATCCTCTTCTCTAGAACTGTGTCAACCAGTCAATGACTCTAAATGGGTACAGTTGTGACAGGTTATGGTTGTTGTTGACAGTCCTGAATCTTAGTGTGCATTTTACAATTTGAACAGTGTCCTGCCCTTTTGGACCAAAAGTCTAGGATGGCATTTGAACTTTGGCATAGAACAGTGCACATGTGTGAACTGTGATTCTGGGCCTTGACATCCTGTTGGATTATATTGTATTAGATGCATTTCTACAATGTTGATATTCTCAATGTACGCATTTTTTTGTACAAAACAGGGTAGCAAAAGGAATAGATTTTGTTTTGAGAAAGGGAAAGGGTCTGAAGGCCTAATGCACATCATCCTCAACATTCCAAGGATTTTAAGGGGAAATTGCTTTGCCTGAGTTTGAGTTCAGGTTTAAAGTGTGCTGCTAAGGCTGTACTTGATGAATTTTGACATCAACCAATTGACCCCTGAGAGTGACCAGCATTTAAATTCTCCTTACAATATTAACCCTGAATTACACATTAAGGTTACAAGAAAAAAGGAAGTAATCATAAAATTAAAGAAGCTCTTGATTGTTTAACCAATTCCCCTTGTTAGTGCCATAAAGAATGCAAGGTGAACAGTATGGAAAATATGCTTACAGGGTTTGGGTGTAAAGAGTTCAAAGAGGTTTTATTATTTCAGACCCGTAAGGCAGCCTCATGGCTGTCACAGAAAATGAGCCAGGATGGACATGCTGTGGCACTGCTATCTGGTGAGATAACAGTGGAGCAGAGGATTGCAGTCCTAAACAGATTCCGTGAAGGCAAGGAGAAGTTGCTCATCACAACAAATGTCTGTGCCAGAGGTATAGATGTCGAGCAGGTAAAGAACTAGCTTGTGTATGTGAGACACAAATACTGATAGTAGGTGTGGTTAAGGGGGTCCTGTCTTTCTGCTGTTTCATTTATCACAATTAAGGTGTTAGGTTTTTAATGGCTCATGTTTTACTTGAAGTGATTCAGGGATTGTCAGAATAACAAATAATGGGTTAAGCTCCCCCCTCCCTCAAAAAAAAAAACCCACCCCCACCCCACGGTAGTCACAGGTATTTTTTCAGGTCAGGTGATCGTAGGGTGTCAAGAAAAATGATTTGTCATGGTGACACAATGAGTTGTGTTCCCAAATGTCTGGAAGACTCTTGTGGAGGACTTCTTCCTGGCAAACATCTCCCCTGCCCAAGCATCAATACTGGTTACACCCTTATTTGGAGAAATTAACTTGTAAAAGTGAAACAAAGGTTAGCCAATACAGCAAGGGGTGGGAGGGGGGGTGCTGCTGAAAGCTAGTGTCAGTGATGCAGGCTTTTACAGGGTTAGGGGGCATATTTCCTAAGTTGAGGGGAAGGAGGTCTTTATAAAAAAGCTGTCAGTTGAATGATAAGATTTGGGTTTCTTTCGCAGGTGACAGTTGTGGTTAACTACGACATGCCAGTGGAGCCCACAGGCAAACCGGATTTTGAAACGTACCTACACAGAATTGGTCGGACAGGCAGGTTTGGCAAGAGTGGCATCGCAGTGAACTTTATTGATGGTCAGCGGTCTATGGCAACCATGAAGAAAATTGAGGTACATTTTGGGAGAAAAATTACACTTCTCGAGACCAATGATGTTGATGCATTGGAGAAACTTGCATAACAAGACATGTCTCTATTGCCCATAGAGTTTTACCAAAACAAGACGACGTCCGTTTCAGATGCACTTAAAAAGTTCTCCATCTTAAGGATACGTCGCCCATTTGATAGCCATGATCTTCAGTTTGTTTGTTCCCATTTTGAACCCAATAAACTCGAGGGTTTGCTTCCTCTCTCAGCCAATCAAATCGTATGACAGTGACTTTACTTTCCCTTCATTTACACGTGTAGTTCCTAGTGTTTTGATTGGCTTAGAGCATTGGAATATAGAAAAGATATTTGTTGTTGCCTCTTAACCCTTCAACATCCAGCAGTGAGTGACTCAAAACTTCTCCCTGTAATATCTTTACATTATCCAGCAAACAGGTAATGAGAACACTCAAACTTATCAGGTTGAAGTTATTGTGGTCTTAAACCAAATTCTTCAAACCAACTTACGAGAAAACGTTTAGGGAATTAAAGGGTTAAAATGGATTGTATTTTACTTTCTCTTTCCACGTCATTCGCTGTTGATTGGTTACTTAAAAACCTTTTTATAGAAAGGCTAATTAAAAATAGTTTTAAAGCAAAGGGACTTCCTTTTATCTTGTTCCAAACCTGTATTAAAGGAAATCTGTTGTTTAGGAATTACATGTAGAACTTAAACCCTTTGAGTGTGGTATTGGATCAACTGATAATCCCCTTATTGATATTTTTCTTTATTCTCATCCCTTGTCTGCTTGAAATTGTATTTACATTGAATGGAGAAACAACGTCTTGGTCACTTGTGGGAGTGAAAGGGTTAAAGCCGAGACTTAACTGGTTAGAACGATCTCTTTTGTGTTTGACAAATCAACAGCTTCTTGGGTACTGCGACGGCAGTGATGTTCATTATGTGTTGTCGATATTTTTTTATGTCTTTTCTGTATTACAAAATAAAAAAGCTGTTGTTGGCAATGAAGTGAATGAGAAACCACCGTACAGAAATCAAGCTTCAAATATGTTTATTGTTCAAATGGACAATTTTTCCTTAGAACTTGTTCTTAGCAACTAGACTATAGATATATTTCAATTTAAATTCATAACTATAAATTTACTATTTTACACCTTGAAATTGAATTTCAACTAATCCCATAGTTATCGTTTGACATTTGAGAGAGACAAAGACAGCCAGTTTATACACAGCGCTAACATAGATTGTGTAAACATGATCTTTGTTGAGAGTAGCCTGCGGCTCAAGGTTTTTTTCTTCCTTTGTTGTGTTCATCACGCGAACAAAGGAGGGCGAAAAAAAACGCGGGAACGCAAAAGCCGTTCCTTTCATCTTCTTTTTCGCTCTTCGAGCGAAAATATGAACAATGAGCACATATTTTATTACACGTTCTCTGATGTTAGCAAACCTGTTCGAGTACGTTTATATGGCACACATTTCATCGAGTAATCGCGAGGAATGTTTCAGCTGCTTATAGCCAACTTGGAGTAAAAACAAAGTGCCGATTTTGGTAGATCAGCAATGAAACGATAATGATCTGTCTTAGCATACGGACAGGCCTTCAATATTAGTGCTGCAGGACGAGTGTTTCTACACCAAAGAGTAAGTTTAGGGCCTTCAGCATAGCGGGCCAGCAAGCAGTCTAAAAGGGATCTGGCACTAATAATGGATTATCAGTGCCAGACCCATTACAGACCTCACGCTCACCCGCGTCACTCAAGGCGACAGAACTATTCGCGGGCGAATTCGCTCGCACTGAAGAGCTAATAATGTAGGTTTGTTCGCAGGCTAGATATGATTTTCTTCTCTTATTCTCGTGCCAAGCAATCTGTAAATCTTGTGTTATTTAAGTCGCTGAGTGTTACGTTTAAAGTGTTTATTTATAAACTCTCTGACTTATTACCTTAGGAACTGCCTCCATCGATCGACAAAATCTTTTGATACTGCGCAGGCAATGAACGGATCCTAATAGAAAGGAGGAAAGGTGTTTTTCATTACTAGATTTAGTGGCAAAATGCCAAAATGGCAGTCTCACACTGTAAAAAAGGAATTCAATACATTCCTTTTTCCAAATTTTTCGAGAATACGAACAAATCGAGAGACTGGGAATTTCGCGTCTGCCATGAAGATACAGGCATCCAATTTTTTACCGCCATGTTTGAGCGCTATCTTGTGCCAAACTCAGCGTGGGAAGGACGTAGCAGCGCTGTTCCTTTTTTCTGCCATTATTTCGGCTTTGAATTGACAAATGCTAGTTAAGGTACTTTTGCAGTTATACTTAATCCTTTAATCCCTAAGAATGACCAGCATCAAATTTCTCATTTCAGTATCACTCTTGCATCACACTTTAAGGAAATGAGAATATAGGAAACAATCGCTGACTGAGGAAGCTTATGATTGTCAATTAAATTCTCCTTGTTAGTTCATAGGAAATATTTAGATAATAGTATGGAGAATATGCATATTAATGAAAGGGTGTAAAGGCTTCCAAACTTACGCCGTTATCAAATGACGGCCGGTTCCTATCGAGATACAATCGACTCAAAACAGTTCTCTGCTCTGATGCAAGTAGTTTGTGAAGCTCATTCTTCTGACGCTCTTCTTCATCATCTGCATGCGTAAGAAAGAGAAAACAATTAAAAAGCGAAAAAAACGGCACTAATATGTTAAAATGTCATACTTAAGCTCAATTTCCACAGTTTTCTCCGGTCCGGTCTTCGATCCTCCCGAAAAAGACTTCCCGGGATGAGCGCAGGCTCATTTCCCGAACGGCGGGTGATAATCGAGCCTACATTACACAACACTGAGTGACAACCTTGATAACTACATTTGAGGATTTAAGTAGATCACTGCCTTTATAAACCATAGCCAGTGAGAATTGTAGTCAAATACCTGGCAAGTTCTACATGCCGAATGAGCAGCTGGGAATTCAGAAGCGGAAGGAAAGTAATATTTCAACCTCTGCCACACCTATTATGCATATTATGTTGGTGCGTATTAAACCCGTCGAAGTGATATAAATCAATGAATTTTGAATATATGAAAATCATACATGTGTATTGCGGTTTCATAATATGTATGAGAGCGAGTAGAGAAACCCTACTTAATGAATGTAAACGAAGAAGTTAATTCATACACGGGTCTATGAATTGTAACTTCTTCGGTTACATTCATTAAATCTGTAAACCAGAGTAGCATCAAACCATGTCTGATTGTCCAGCTGGTTGCCGTGTGAACTTTAATATATTTTAAACCCTACTTATTTAGTGGGTGGAAATAAGGCCTGAAAAAAGAATGTAGGCCCGTTGGCGATTTGGACCCATGACCTCTGCGATACCACACATAGACTCCCGGAGTGGCATCATTGACCTTTGCAGTGCCGGTGTAGTGCTCTACCAACTGAGCTAACAAGCCAACCGGGTGCTGGTCATCTATAACGGTTTATAACGATTACTGTTCAGAAGCGATAACGAAAATCTCCTTTAAAAGCAGGCACTTTTAATCGGTACAAAGACGGTAAAACGGTAACGGCTTAAAATACAAACTCAAAAACAAAAACCTCCAAAATGCGACTAAAACTGAAAAACACACTCGCGAGAAATCGTACGCATAACATGCTTACGAACTGGTCAAATTTAAATGTCTCAGCGCGCGCGCGCTTATCGCACGACACGCCAGTCCGGTACTTTATTCTTAACAATTACCATGCTCAGGTTTTACACAAGCACTCAAAGTTTACGATCTCTTGACAATTCTGTGATATATTTCTATACATATTCTGCTAGAATTTTATTGTTTATACAGGCCCCCATTGATACCAGCTTGCAGCTGAATTGGGCCAGCCTGGTTTATTGCCAATGAATAAATGAAATAACTGAGAAGGGTAACGTGACTTATTTGTCTCGTTATCAAATTATCGTTCTAAGCTTCCTCGATGAGTAAAAAAAAAAAAATGAAAATTTCATAAGAATTACCGGGACAGTGTGTTGCAAATTATTAGACCGCACGGTCAGTATTGGTTAAAGATTTTGTTATTCCTTACAATTAGGCGATTCCGGAACACTTAAACTTTCCCAAAGTGTAATAACCCTTATCGTCTACTCTGTCTTGGTCTATGTCAGTATCCCTAAACGTTAGCTGCTTAACCGGCAGATGTGTCTTGTTAGTAAGGACACCACTATCTTCACGCCGTACATTGTCATTCATACGACAGTTACACTGTTCACTGTTTTATGCGCATGCGCACGTTTGTTCTTAATGTGCTGCACCACTCCGGTAGGTCATTTTCTCAGAATTAGTTGAAAGCCAAAAGCCATCCATCAATGCAGAAACAAAGCAATGAACTGCTCACAGTGCGGGTAAACATTGATGAGACACACCAGTTGAGATATGCTCGCTCCTTTGAAGTACATGTTTCGCGAGTAGACTCCCGGAGTGGCATTATTGTCCGCTAAAGTCTTGTTTTCGCTGTCGTGACTGTCGTGAAAGTCACACCAACTCCTTGTTAATTGTTAATTTTGTTACTTTCCTGTCCTTTTCACACTTGTGTTTAGCTCTTCCGAGATCTAAAATGAAGAAAAAAGGCTGACAAACTTAACCATGCGGCCAGGTTTACACGCGCTCCTACGCGCGTGTTACCGCGCATCTGCAAGTGTATTATGAGGCAATTTGCGTCACAAACGAAAAAACATTACTGGGATCGAGATGAAATATGGCGGCCTTTTTGAGTTACATAGCAAGATGAATATGGAAAGAACTGCCTATTCTGATACCGCAGCAGAAGCAAAAATGGCATTTAAGAGATTTTTCAACTTCCAGTTTATGTCATCTGCTGTTTATGTTGCTTGAATGAAAAATGTGACTCGTAAAGCAGCTGATAAACTCTTAACTGGAAACCACGTGAAATCTTCACGTCAACTGCTAAGGTAAACTTTTACTGACTTTCAACACAGCGTTACGGATACATTGAATCATTTTTTCTCTGCTTCCTGTTATTTTTAGTTGCGAAGCAAGCCTGAAATCTTTTCGGATTATTCTGATATTTTAATACTTTTTGTGCAACTTTAAATGTTTAGCGAGATATTCAAGTACGTTACTCCTCCAGGGAGCTGAGTTTGCAGCACAAGGTTCTCAATCGGGCTGAACACATTTCTTGATTGTTTTTTTCAGTTTATGTCATTCGATATTCGTTAGTCGGCACTATCTGAGAAATAATTGTATAGCTGGTAGTTAATCCGAAATTGTCAGCATATTCACATTCTTCAATTTTTTAAAACTGTCCAATTAAGGATTAATTTGAATATTATAAGTATCCAAATTAGTCCTAATTGAACAGTTTTGAAATATTAAAGAATAATAGCTTGACAGAGTAAAACCCAATTATGGCTGACTAGGTATGAGTAAGAGGACTATATGCTTGTCCAATTTTGGAAATAATTGGATGCAAAAAAATTTTGTGAATTTTCCAACTTGAACGGCATGTAGTCCTATTACATATACAAATATTGCAACTTACACGTAGAGACTAAACTTCGGTAAAGGAGAATAACTAAGGGTGGGGTGGTAGTACTTGGGGTGCTGTTGGCCTCTCAGAACCCCAATAGTCTATTCTGCAGCAAATTATGGCAAATATAATTGTCATGATCCCAACTTGGTCACCTTCTGTTTCTGTTTATACATCTACCTTATAAAGCCCTTAAAGTAGATCATCCTGCCATGACCCCTGACCCCTTGTGCTGAACAGATCTTGAACTGTGCACAAGAGATGGGTGACTAATTACTAACCTGCAATGGAGTGAGCTTCACCAACAGAGGCTGCTCCTCAGTCCTGATCTGGGATGCTCAGTCCTAGTCCACCAAAAAAAGGAGAAGGGTGTGAAAACTGTTTCGGAAACAGAACTGTCATGCTGCACTAAACAGATCTTGAACTGTGTACAAGAAATGGGTGACTAAAAGCTGACCCACGATGGAGTTGGCTTCACTTGCAAAATCTCTTCCTCAGTCTTGATCTCTGAGATGCAAAGACCTGGTCCACCAAAAAAAAAAAAAAAAAAAAAAAAAAAAAAAGGAGAAGAGTGTGAAAACTATTTCAGAAACAGGACTGTCTTGCTGTGCTAAAAGATCTTGAACTGTGTATAAGTAATTCTGGATAATCCTTTCGTTGGTATTATTTTTCTGTCCGTATTTCGAGGCGAACTATCTCAGTGTGCAGCTCAGCCAACTGTTAGCCATGTACGCACAGCAAAGCAAAATTTTGCTTTCCGGGAAAAAGAGAGCCATGTTTATTTGCGGAAGTAACTGAACTCGTATTCTTGGAAAATAGTTTGTGTCTAAGGAACTTTAAGGCATCTATAGTCGTAGTAAACTTACTACCCGGTGGAAAAGTTGAGGTTCTTAGCTCGGTAGAATGTATGTGCAGAGGCACTTGAATGACACAGGATTCATTCATTGACATAAAATTTACGAGAACTTAAGGTTTAACACATATTAAACTGTGTTTTCTGCGTAACAGCATGACAAACAATCCGTTTATTGTTTTCCAGTTCTTCACTACTTTTGAAACTTTTTCAGTCTGCCAAATAATACAAGTGTAGCTGTACTTGATCACTTAAAGTTATTTTTCACAATATTTGAATAGATCAGTCATTCTTCCTGCTCTTAGAGAATGAGGTAATTGTGTGATACATTATAATAAAATAAGACTGATAAGACTGCTGTTATTTTGATATCTTCACTTGTAGGTTAATAAACTCAAAATTGACAGTAATAATCCTGTACCACCTTCTGAACAAAAACCACCTCAAGATGACAATGGTATGATTCACCTTATAACATAGAGCTACATGACCCTATGATCCCAGTGTTACTCACTATTTATCAATATTCACCCTTTAACTCCCAGATTAAATTTGTAATTCTCTTTACTGTCAACCATAAAATTCTTTTAATGTTAGTTCAGAGAGTTAAGTATGGGATTAATTAGTAGTAGTTTAAATATTGCATCAGGAGAAATTCCCCTCTTTTGTGTTCTATTGGATGCACACACATCATGAACACATACAATGAGAAAATGAAGCAATTTTGCAAAATTAACATGAGTTGCATAAAATTACTAGTTATGGTTCGATATGCATATGACACGTTGGTGAGAAAAATAAGATAACTTAAAGAATTTCACCTGACAAGAATCCTTTTACAGTTTTGGTTGCATCTTGTCGCATCAATCTTTGGCCAATTGCAATGAAATAGATAGCTGGACACCATTGCACTGGTTATGCTAATGCTATTATTGACTTTTCACTCAACAGAGACTGCAGAAGCTGTGGCGGAGGCTTCCCTATTAATCAAAGTTCTAAGGAATAAACTGGTCCAGAATAAGAATGAAGTTGAAGTGCAAAGGAATGATCCAAACTCTCCACTTCACTCTGTCAAGTCATTTGATGAGTTACCTCTGTATGTATGCCTTCATTTCAAGTCGTGATTTGAATTTACAGAAAGCTTAATATGGTGAAGACATTCTTTTATTGTTTTCTTCACTGTGAGACTCATAAAAAACCGAAAAACAGAATGTGTATGGAATTTTATTGTGTTTTAAGGAAAATGTCAGCTAGGGGTGGGAGAACTGAACCATAAATGGCAATGGTAACAATGGTTTGAGATTTTGAGATTTGTTTGCAAAACATGGTTGATCAATATTGGTCAGAATCAAATTAATTGAGCAAACCTTTCTCTGAGTTTTTTTTAAAGCAAAAATTAACATTTATTGAAATTTGTCTCTCCAATGCAGACTGATGTTAAATAATAATTATTAATTGTAGTTAATATGCCACACCCTGAGTTTAGAAACTCAAATTTTGAAAAAAATGTTTTTTAAAAGAAATCCAATAAACTACTAGTGGAGTCTTGAGAAAGTTGCTTCATTTTGGTTTCTCCAACAAATGCGCACATGCACAAATTCTCCTACATTGAAAACAGGAATTCTTTGAATCCTTACCATCAATTTCAGATGAAATGATATGTACATCATATCTTTTAACTTAGACTTATGTTTGATCATATATTGATATTGTTCAACCAGTATCTTTTTCATTCCTGTCAGACTTTCAATGTGTATAATTTTTATGTAAATCAACTGGAAATTTGTTCTTTTGTTAGGTTGTTGTTAGCTTAGTGCTTTGGCATTTGATACAGACTTTGAAATTTTCTATTACTAGTTTTAACCTATTGATGGTTGAAGCATGTTTTCCAGATGTTCTCTTGGATCCCAAATTTGTTGCTTTAACTTGAATTATTTTGTGATTGTCATAACAACTTTCTTTATGATTATTAATGATACTTTTAGTTCTGATTTTGTTGGCTTGAAGATTGAGCTCTAAATGTTATGAAAAATGGTTTCCTTTAGGTCTGAACAACTGCGTAAAGGAGTTTATGCCATGGGCTTTAATAAACCATCCAAAATTCAAGAAACAGCCTTACCCATGCTCTTAGCAGACCCGTAAGTATTCACAAGACACGTTTTGAAATAGTGTTAACTTGTTGGATTTTATAATGTGCTTGTTTCTTGTTTGTGGAATATCAAAAAGACATTTAAGAGAAAAAAAAAAAGATACTTCTATATACTTAGAGAATAACACATGGGCCAGTGTAGATATCGAACTTCTTTGCAAGTGTTCAACTCTATATATTATGACTTAATGAATGGCAAACGCTCTGTCATTCCTTTATCAACCTGACAGGTCTGACAGAATGGTATGTCAGCAGCTGATGTGTCAGCAGCTAATTGGCAATATTAATTTTACACATGTGTAGTAACCACTTTTCTCAGGGCTGGCAACCCTTGTGAAACACCGCAGGTCATATGATTAAAATGAATTTATGCATGTCCTGTTCAAATGATGCCTGATTGTACTTGTAAAGTCCGCCTACAAGAGGGCATAGTAAGATTTTTCATCATGATTCAATCAAGACTGAAGAGCTTACCCTGCCTTCTATGCCTGTTTTTATATTGCTCCCCTTGGCTGGGATACACTTATCAAGTGTAGCAAATTATCCCATGAAGAAAGACTCTGTGAGAGTTAACCCTTTTACTGGGAAGATCCAATAGTTTTTCAGCATGCCACAGTAGTGTATTTCTTGCAAGGATTTGATAATTGCTTTGCATCATCTCTCTATTTTTTTCAGGCCAAGTAACATGATTGTTCAGTCACAATCAGGAACTGGAAAAATTGCTGCCTTTGTGTTGACTATGCTTAGCAGAGTTGATGCTACAAAGGCCTACACACAAGTAGATAACCACATATTTCTATCATAGCCAGCAATGCAGTTGTCTTATTAGGGGGAGTTAACGTTACAAGCTCATGATCGTTAATCCACTGGATGTTAGTCACCCCCTTTATTACAGATTTCTTTCTCTCTCCAGCCTTCCACCGCTGTAAAAATCAAAACATGACAGCAGCAATTTTCACCAAGAAAATACTGAGCACTTGCTTGCCAAAATTATACCTGTTCTACAGGCTATTTCTATCTTGGTGATTTTAATAATACCATAGTAGTAATTTTCCAAATGGATGGTTAAAAGTTCTTGAATTTTCAGATGAAGGAAGATAATTATAAAATGATAAAAATTGCATTTTTTCACAGTTAAGTTTTACACATGCTGATTGAAATGTTCTTGTCAAATATGTATTTGATGTAATTAGAGGTGTGCAGTGGGTTAATAAAAATGAAGGTGAAAAAAAATAATGATTTTGATGTAGCAGTTACCATTTTCCATGGTTTCATGTTGTTTGTTTTCAGGTGGTGTGTTTATCACCAACATATGAGCTGGCATTACAAACAGGCCAAGTTGCTGAAAAAATGGGACAGTTTTGTCCAGAGATCAAAATCGGTTATGCAGTAAGAGGAGAAAGAGGTGAGAAATTTTATCAAAAAAATAGAACTGCCAACCCTTTACACCCTACATCAGTATGAAAATTCTCCCCACTGTTCTGTATACATTTTCTTAAGTGCTGAAAAGGAGAATTTGTTTAGCAATCAGAGGCTTCTTTAGTTGGTGATCATTTCCTTAATTCTTGTCACCTTAATGTGTGATCCAAGGTGATTATGTTAGGAGAAATTAAATGCTCATCACTCTCAGGGGTCAAAGGGTTAATAGCCAAGAAATACTGATTTAGTGAGTTCCCTTGAAACAAAAGATGTGCAATTATTAGCAAAGCGAATTCTTGCCAAATGTAAATCTGAAAAGAGCAGCCTTTTTTACCGTTACATTAATAACAGAACCATTCTTTTTTTAACAGTTTCAAGAGGCCAGAAAGTAACAGATCACATAATATTTGGAACACCTGGCACCCTCCTTGACTGGATTTTAAGACACAAAGTTCTGGATCCAAAGAAAATCAAGATGTTTGTGTTAGATGAAGCTGATGTCATGATGGCTCTAAAGGGACACCAAGATCAGTCAATTAGAATACACAAGTAAGTCTTGAGCTTCATATTTAAGGTGGATAGGTCGCTGTATCATGAAGTGACTTGACGTATTGCTTCTCTCCCCCTCCCCCTTTGGATGGAATGGTGGCATATGAAGCATTTCACCAGGTTTCCCTGACAGTTGGGAGATGCAGTGTCAGTGCGCTGGACTCGGGGTTCAGAGGTGCAGGTTTAAGACCTGGCTGCATCATTTTGTTGTGTTCATGGTCAAAATACTTTACTCTCACAGTGCCTCTTTCCAGCCTGGATTACAAATGGGTGCTGGAAAATGGTCCGGAAAGCCTGATTAAATTTTGAGGTGGGGGGTTACCTCACAATGGACTGGCATCCATAATCCTCCAAATTGTTTCATTCCAGGCAAATGAAAAAGCTGCAGCTGGATGAGCCTTTGGTTTGAGTACAAACTTTACCTTATGTCCCTGATATCACTAGGTGTAAGTCTAAAGTACTGTGAGGGGAAACTGGAGGCCTATCCTGGAAAAAACTAAATGACTCAGCCAGGTCACAAGTCAGGAACTCTTGAGCCAGAGTCCAGCACACTAACATCTCCCCACTTGTCAATGAGATGATGTACAGTGCAGATATTGTTCCCTTACTTTCCTTATCTCAGAATATCCCCAAGAGCTTGATTAAGGTATTAAACAATGTTCCTTTGTTTCCAAGGACTTTACCCAAAGACTGTCAAATGCTGCTTTTTTCTGCAACATACGATGATGAGGTGATGAAGTTTGCAGAGTCTGTCTTACCCAGTCCAATGGTGATTCGACTACGTCGTGAAGAGGAGAGTTTAGACAACATTAAACAGTACTATGTTGTGTGTCGGAGTCAAGAGGAGAAATTTCAGGCCCTTTCAAACATGTGTGGAGTGGTGTCTATAGGACAGTGTATTGTGTTCTGTCAGGTAAGTATGGTTAACACTGCCAAACCTTATCCTCTTCTCTAGAACTGTGTCAACCAGTCAATGACTCTAAATGGGTACAGTTGTGACAGGTTATGGTTGTTGTTGACAGTCCTGAATCTTAGTGTGCATTTTACAATTTGAACAGTGTCCTGCCCTTTTGGACCAAAAGTCTAGGATGGCATTTGAACTTCGGCATAGAACAGTGCACATGTCTGAACTGTGATTCTGGGCCTTGACATCCTGTTGGATTATATTGTATTAGACACATTTCTACAATGTTGATATTCTCAATGTACGCATTTTTTTTTTTGTACAAAACAAGGTAGCAAAAGGAATAGATTTTGTTTTGAGAAAGGGAAAGGGTCTGAAGGCCTAATACACATCATCCTCAACATTCCAAGGATTTTAAGGGGAAATTGCTTTGCTTTGCCTGAGTTTGAGTTCAGGTTTAAAGTGTGCTGCTAAGGCTGTACTTGATGAATTTTGACATCAACCAATTGACCCCTGAGAGTGACTAGAATTTAAATTCTCCTTACAATATTAACCCTGAATCACACATGAAGGTTACAAGAAAAAAGGAAGTGATCATAAAATTAAAGAAGCTCTTGATTGTTTAACCAATTCCCCTTGTTAGTGCCATAGAGAATGCAAGGTGAACAGTCTGGAAAATATGCATACAGGGTTTGGGTGTAAAGAGTTCAAAGAGGTTTTATTATTTCAGACCCGTAAGGCAGCCTCATGGCTGTCACAGAAAATGAGCCAGGATGGACATGCTGTGGCACTGCTATCTGGTGAGATAGCGGTGGAGCAGAGGATTGCAGTCCTAAACAGATTCCGCTATGGCAAGGAGAAGTTGCTCATCACAGCAAATGTCTGTGCCAGAGGCATAGATGTCGAGCAGGTAAAGAACTAGCCTTTGTATGTGAGACACAAATACTGATAGCAGGTGTGGTTAAGGGGGTCCTGTCTTTCTGCTGTTTCATTTATCACAATTAAGGTGTTAGGTTTTTAATGGCTCATGTTTTACTTGAAGTGATTCAGGGATTGTCAGAATAACAAATAATTGGTTAAGCTCCCCCCTCCCTCAAAAAAAAAAACCCACCCCCCACCCCACGGTAGTCACAGGTATTTTTTCAGGTCAGGTGATCGTAGGGTGTCAAGAAAAATGATTTGTCATGGTGACACAATGAGTTGTGTTCCCAAATGTCTGGAAGACTCTTGTGGAGGACTTCTTCCTGGCAAACATCTCCCCTGCCCAAGCATCAGTACTGGTTACACCCTTATTTGGAGAAATTAACTTGTAAAAGTGAAAGAAAGGTTAGCCAATACAGCAAGGGGTGAGAGGGGGGCTGCTGAAAGCTAGTGTCAGTGATGCATGTTTTTACAGGGTTAGGGGGCATATTTCCTAAGTTGAGGGGAAGGAGGTCTTTATAAAAAAGCTGTCAGTTGAATGATAAGATTTGGGTTTCTTTCGCAGGTGACAGTTGTGGTTAACTACGACATGCCAGTGAAGCCCACAGGCAAACCGGATTTTGAAACGTACCTACACAGAATTGGTCGGACAGGCAGGTTTGGCAAGAGTGGCATCGCAGTGAACTTTATTGATGGTCAGCGGTCTATGGCAACCGTGAAGAAAATTGAGGTACATTTTGGAAGAAAAATTACACTTCTCGAGACCAATGATGTTGATGCATTGGAGAAACTTTCATAAAAAGACATGTCTCTATTGCCCATAGAGTTTTACCAAAACAAGACGACGTCCGTTTCAGATGCACTTAAAAAGTTCTCCATCTTAAGGATACGTCGCCCATTTGATAGCCATAATCTTCAGTTTCGTTTGTTCACATTTTGAACCCAATAAACTCGAGGGTTTGCTTCCTCTCTCAGCCAATCAAATCGTATGACAGTGACTTTACTTTCCCTTCATTTACACGTGTAGTTCCTAGTGTTTTGATTGGCTTAGAGCATTGGAATATAGAAAAGATATTTGTTGTTGCCTCTTAACCCTTCAACATCCAGCAGTGAGTGACTCAAAACTTCTCCCTGTAATATCTTTACATTATCCAGCAAACAGGTAATGAGAACACTCCAACTTATCAGGTTGAAGTTATTGTGGTCTTAAACCAAATTCTTCAAACCAACTTACGAGAAAACGTTTAGGGAATTAAAGGGTTAAAATGGATTGTATTTTACTTTCTCTTTCCACGTCATTCGCTGTTGATTGGTTACTTAAAAACCTTTTTATAGAAAGGCTAATTAAAGATAGTTTTAAAGCAAAGGGACTTCCTTTTATCTTGTTCCAAACCTGTATTAAAGGAAATCTGTTGTTTAGGAATTACATGTAGAACTTAAACCCTTTGAGTGTGGTATTGGATCAACTGATAATCCCCTTATTGATATTTTTCTTTATTCTCATCCCTTGTCTGCTTGAAATTGTATTTACATTGTATGGAGAAACAACGTCTTGGTCACTTGTGGGAGTGAAAGGGTTAAAGCCGAGACTTAACTGGTTAGAACGATCTCTTTTGAGTTTGACAAATCAACAGCTTCTTGGGTACTGCGACGGCAGTGATGTTCATTATGTGTTGTCGATATCTTTTTATGTCTTTTCTGTATTACAAAATAAAAAAGCTGTTGTTGGCAATGAAGTGAATGAGAAACCACCATACAGAAATCAAGCTTCAAATATGTTTATTGTTCAAATGGACAATTTTTCCTTAGAACTTGTTCTTAGCAACTAGACTATAGATATATTTCAATTTAAATTCACAACTATAAATTTACTATTTTACACCTTGAAATTGAATTTCAACTAATCCCATAGTTATCGTTTGACATTTGAGAGAATCTTGTAAGACAGCCGGTTTATACACAGCGCTAACATAGATTGTGTAAAAATGATCTTTTTAAAAATGATCTTTGTAAAGAGTAGCCTGCGGCTCAAGGTTTTTTTTCTTCCTTTGTTTTGTTCATCACGCGAGCAAAGGAGGGCGAAAAAAAAAACGCGGGAGCGCAAAAGCCGTTCCTTTCATCTTCTTTTTCGCTCTTCGAGCGAAAATATAAACAATGAGCACATATTACACGTTCTCTGATGTTAGCAAACCTGTTCGAGTACGTTTATATGGCACGCATTTCATCGAGTAATCGCTAGGAATGTTTCAGCTGCTTATAGCCAACTTGGAGTAAAAACAAAGTGCCGATTTTGGTAGATCAGCAATGAAACGATAATGATCTGTCTTAGCATACGGACAGGCCTTCAATATTAGTGCTGCAGGACGAGTGTTTCTACACCAACGAGTAAGTTTAGGGCCTTCAGCATAGCGAGCCAGCAAGCAGTCCAAAAGGGATCTGGCACTAATAATGGATTATCAGTGCCAGACCCATTACAGACCTCACGCTCACCCGAGTCACTCAAGGCGCCAGAACTATTCGCAGGCGAATTCGCTCGCACTGAAGAGCTAATAATGTAGGTTTGTTCGCAGGCTAGATACGATTTTCTTCTCGTATTCTCGTGCCAAGCAATCTGTAAATCTTGTGTTTTTTAAGTCGCTGAGTGTTACGTTTAAAGTGTTTATTTATAAACTCTCTGACTTATTACCTTAGGAACTGCCTCCATCGATCGACAAAATCTTTTAATACGGCGCAGGCAATGAACGGATCCTGATAGAAAGGAGGAAAGGTGTTTTTCATTACTAGATTTAGTGGCAAAATGCCAAAATGGCAGTCTCAAACTGTAAAAAAGGAATTCAATGCATTCCTTTTTCCAAATTTTTCGAGAATACGAACCAATCGAGAGACTGGGAAGTTCGCGTCTGTCATGGAGAAACAAGCATTTTTTTTTTAACCACCATGTTTTCGTGCCATCTTGTGCCAAACTCAGCGTGTGAAGGTCGTAGCAGCGCAGTTCCTTTTTTCTGCCATTAGTTCGGCTTTGAATTGACAAATGCTAGTTAAGGTACTTTTGCAGTTATACTTAATCCTTTAATCCCTAAAAATGACCAGCATCAAATTTCTCATTTCAGTATCACTCTTGCATCACACTTTAAGGAAATGAGAATATAGGAAACAATCGCTGACTGAGGAAGCTCTTGATTGTCAATTAAATTCTCCCTGTTGGTTCATAGTAAATATTTAGATAATACTATGGAGAATATGCATATCAATGAAAGGGTGTAAAGGCTTTCAGACTTACGCCGTTATCGATTGACGGCCGGTTCCTATCGAGATACAATCGACTAAAGACAGTTCTCTGCTCTGAAGCAAGTAGTTTGTGAAGCTCATTCTTCTGACGCTCTTCTTCATCATCTGCCTGCGTAAGAGAGAGAAAACAATTAAAAAGCGAAAAAAGCGGCACTTATATGTTAAAATGTCACACTTGCGCTCAACTTCCACCGTTTTCTCGAGTACTGTCTTCGATCCTCCCGAAATGGACTTCCCGGGATGAGCGGAGGCTCATTTCCCGAACGGCGGCTGATAATCGAGCCTACGTTGCACAACACTGAGTGACAACCTTGATAACTGCATTTGAGGATTTAAGTAGATCAGTGCCTTTATAAACCAGAGCCAATGAGAATTGTAGTCAAATACCTGGCAAGCTCTACATGCCGAATGAGCAGCTGGGAATTCAGAAGCGGAAGGGAAGTAATATTTCAATCTCTGCCACACCTAGTATGCATGTTACGTTGGTGCGTATTAAACCCGTCGAAGTGATATAAATCAATGAATTTTGAATATATGAAAATCATTTATGTGTATTGCGGTTTCATGATATGTATGAGAGCATTCCTCGCAGTAATAAACCCTACTTAATGAATGTAACCGAAGAAGTTACAATTCATAGACGGGTCCATGAATTGTAACCTTTTCGGTTACATTCATTAAATCTGTAAACCAGAGTAGCATCAAACCATGTCTGATTGTCCTCATGGTTGCCGTGTGAACTTTAATATATTTTAAACCCAACTTATCTAGTAGGTGGAAATAAGGCCTGAAAAAAAATGTAGGCCCTTACGGGATTTGGACCCATGACCCCTGCGATACCGGTGCAGTGCTCTACCAACTGAGCTAACAAGCCAACTGGTAGCTGGTCGTTTATAACGATTTATAACAATTACTGTTCAGAAGCGATAACGAAAATCTCCTCTAAAAGCAAGCACTTTTAATCGGTAAAAATACGGTAAAACAGTAACAGCTTAAAATACAAACTCGAAAACAAAAACCTCCAAAATGCGACTAAAACTGAAAAACACACACGCGAGAAATCGTACGCGTAACTTGCTTACGAACTGGTCAAATTTAAATGTCTCAGCGCGCGCGCGCTAATTGCACGACATGCCAGTCCGGTACTTTCTTCTTAACAATTACCATGCACAGGTTTTACACAAGCACTCAAAATTTACAATCTCCTGACAATTCTGTGATATATTTCTATACATATTCTGTGAGAATGATATTGTTCATTCAGGCCCCCATTCAGACCAGCCTGCGGCTGAACTGGGCCAGCCTGGTTTATTGCCATTGAATCGAATACATAAGATAACTGAGAAGGGTAACGTGACTCATTTGCCTCGTTATCAAATTAACGTTGTAAGCTTCCCCGATAAGTAAAAGAATTAAATGAAAATTTCATAAGAATCACCGGGACAGTGAATTGCAAATTATTAGACCGCACGGTCAGTATTGGTTAAAGATTTCGTTATTCCTTATAATTAGGCGATTCCAGAACACTTAAACTTAAACTTTCCCAAAGTGTGATGACTCTTCTCGTCTACTCCGTCTTGGTCAATATCTGTATCCCCAAACGTCAGCTGCTTAACCGGCAGATGTGTTTTGTTAGTAAGGACACTACTATCTTCACGCCATACATCACACGATATTGGAAAGTTCGTTATAATGTGCTGTAAAAGAACTTGTTTAACCCGTCGGTTTCTCTATCTACTTCGCTTTTCCTGCTCACAAGAAATTTGAATAAAATGGAGCACTTGGATAATTAATTTATCAAATCGACAGTGATTTAGTGTGGTCTGTACTCTTATCGACAACGGCAAATTGGCCGATCAGGTCACGAAATTTCTGCCAATTGTGGTGAAAAATTTTTAGACGTTTTGGTGTGTAGTGGGCTCGTCAAAATACGGCGCAGCTCGTAAATTACTCCGCGATACCACACCGCAAAAACGTCCGATAAGGTTTCTGTATCAGGCCATTTGAAAGTATCCAAACATATTGGTTATTAAGTTATCGTTTATTTTTTTAATTCCGGACCGAGACCCTAAATACTTGATTAACCTTTGTTTGTGGAGCAGGGTTCAGATATCGTGCTGGGTTGCAGTGGTTAGTGAAACTGAAGTGCAGGGAATCTCACCAGTGGTAAGTTCACCTTTGTTCTAAAGATTATAGCAATTGTTATTGCAATGAATCAAAAGTTATCCAGGCATGTGTAGAATAATTTAATGTACTTATTATTAATTTAATTTTGTCCACCAAATTTTGTGAGTCGTTGAAACCCTTTCGACTGGTTGCTGCGACTATTTTGGTTTTTTTTTTTACTTAACGAATCAAAAGCCAATTTCGGTTATTAATGATAGTCCTTATAAATGTCTATTGCATGTGTTTAAACCCTTTTTTTTGGATTGTTGATGGAAAATGATGAAAATATGAGTCATGTATGTGTACTTTGCCATACTTGTTGGATATATTTGATATAGTTGAGAGAATTGTCATAAGGGATGGGTGTGACTAGAAAGGCGAAAGGCAGTAGCACAGGAATTCCTCTAAATTAACTTTTATTTGCGCTTAATGAAAATGCGAAATTCAGTGGAGGTAGATGATGTAGTGTAGAATGATTTTATAGTGATGGCAAATTCACTGCTCTTCTTACAATATAATATATAATCCTTTTTCTTAAATTATCACAACTTACTTGAGTGAGTTCTTTCCTCTCCCTTAAAAGGAAGCCAACTGTTCGGGAAACTGCTTCTAGTTCAAATTCCACGATGAGATGGGACTTCCAAGATTATTGAAAAAATTTAGAGGGCTTATAATTTTCTATTTATAATAGTAAATTTATACTATCCCTGGAAGCTTTGCACGTCTTAGATATTTGCTCAATTATTTTTTGACGCTGTTGTGTTACACATCCATCTGAAGTGTACGTGTATGAGAGCTCGGGGTGCAAAGAGTGAAAACAGTACGCAAACCTAATAATTTCGACCTCTTCCCCCAGCCCACCCTTAAAAAAAAATGAATAGTTTCTGGACCATATTGACTTGAAACTTTACCCTTAGTAATTCCTAAATTGACTGATGCCTCACACAAGAGAAAATTATTTTCATATCATAACTGTGCACCACTGAGGCCTTGTATTGATAAAAAGGCTATTCTGGTATTTTCCACAAATTACTCTAAGTCAGGTATGTTTGCAGCAAAGGATGGAAAAAATAAATTATTATTATTATTATTATTATTATTATTATTATTATTATTATCATTATTATCATTATCATCATTATTGTTATTGTGTTACATACTCTTAAAAAAATTTGAATCTTTACCACTCCCCTCCTCCAAAGCAGTTACGTGTATACAATAC